CGCAATGATACAACTATTCGTACTCTCCGGAACGCGTGAGGTATCACGCCACATTTGAAGGCGTTTTCGAAACTGCCAATTTTCCAAATCAGAAACCTTGCGTCGCATAGATAGGCATCAACAAACACTGGCCAGCAAATATTAAGCACTTATGCAGCCCTTCTTCAGTACATGTACTAAAAATTCAATTCCTCAGAAGCATAAAAAATGCAGTACTTTTTCGATGCCTTTAAGTTTATTGTTAAATTGAGTTCATATTATTTAGTCTAATTCTTCCTGCGCTTTGTTTACTTTCAATTCTTCTAAAATATTATTTGTTTACTAAATACAAGCCTACTTTGAGCACACTTGAGTTTTGCGGTCAAAACTGCAACAGCGGTAAAGGAAAACTAACCAGGCGGTAGCATGGAGGCTGATTAAATATCAATCTTCCATCGCATTGCTAAGGCGCAATGATACAACTATTCGTACTCTCCGGAACGCGTGAGGTATCACGCCACATTTGAAGGCGTTTTCGAAACCGCCAATTTTCCAAATCAGAAACCTTGCGTCGCATGGATAGGCGTCAACCAAAACTGGCCTGCAAATATTAAGCACTTTTGTAGCCCATTTTCAGTATATTTACTAAAAATTCAGCTCCTCAAAAGCAGAAAAAATGCAGTACTTTTTCGATGCCTTTTAAGTTGAATGTTGAATTGAGTTCATATTATTTAGTTATATTTCTTCCTGCGCTTGTTTAACGCTGATAACCGCTGATAAACAGGGTGTTCGCAACGAACGCCTTGAAAATCGATTCTTTACAACAGCTTTAAATGGGAGGTATCGATAATCGATCGATCACGCGTCGGCACTGTTCCCTTCTGTTGAGTGCAATCCAACTGACACTCCAAAACGGTAAAGCTGATAGAGCTGGTTCTGATAGATCGATGATATCTACGAAAGCGCGGAAATTTGGCAAATAACCACGATCACACGCGAACGCGAGTAGTTGCAAAAAAACGCAAGTGCCCAGGAAGCGCCAAGTGTTCGCGCGTCCTGTCCGTTCTGTTCCATCACTTTCTGCTCAATTCCGTTGCGTTCCGGAGAACAGGGTGTCTACTAAAACAGGCTGGTCTAAAATAAGTATACTTTTACTTAGAGTACTTTTTCAGTGCATTCGGAGGAATATCAGTATACCTTCTCCAACAGAAAAATTTCGTGCTTTTTCAGTATCTCTATTTGACAAAATTCGAAAAATTTCAAAAATTTGAAATTGCGACAAATATGACAAAAAATTAAAAAAATTCCAGACCTTTAAGCGGAATTTCCGCACTTTTTCAGAACTTCCGTGCCGCCCTTAGAAAATCAGAACGATTTCCGGACTTGTACACACCCTGACCAGGGTGTCTACTAAAAACGCTGACCAAAAATCAGTACTTTCACAGTACTTTTTCAGTGCATTCCCAAAAAATTAAGTACCTTCTCGACAGAAAAATTCAGTACTTTTTCAGTATCTCCATTTGACAAATTTCGACAAAGTTCAAAAATTCGAATTTCCCGCTTAAATTACGACACAATAGAAAAAAATTCCGGACCATTTTGCGGATTTTTCGAAAAATTTCAAAAATTTGAAATTGGACAAAATTGACAAAAAATTAGACCTTTAAGCGGAATTTCCGCACTTTTTCGGTACTTTCGTGCCGCCCTTAAAAAATCAGTACTATTTCCGGACTTGTAGACACCCGGTAAACCTATACCTGCCCCTTTACACTGTGACATCATTTAGGGAGGATCTCACGGCGGATTCCACCTCGAGCGAGTGGGAGCGATCGGACGAACATCGGATTTTCGCGAGAAACATTGTGTACGTATCCGAGTCGCGCGGCTGCGTGTCCCGCCAAGGCCGCGAACAAGGAGCCAACTCAAGCATCACTCCGGCGACCGGCTCGCGGGGGGCGGTGGAGATCCGAGAAAGAAAACTCGCTCATCTCATCGCCGGAGAGCAGAGATTCCTAGATCTTCCTGCCACATTTTTGCGCCGTGAGCCGCCACCGGAGTGATATCACCCGCGTGACGTCATCGGGGAATAATAAAACAGGGTTTACGAGCGGGGAGCGGGGTCTCCCGGTCCTATTTCAGACGCCGACCTTCGGGGAGCCCTTCTCCCTCTTGCATTAACTCCACGGTTCGTCATTGAATATTGCCCCCCCCCCCCCCCCCCCAAAAAAAAACAAAAACCAAAACGCAAAGGACCATTCTGCTGTGCTAAGGAAAAACACCGTATGAGCCTTCAGACGTTGCCCAATTTTTACCGATAAAAACCGAATTCACTGGGAAATTTTAAACATTTTCCCCAAAAATTTCCAGACAATTTTGCATGAAATTTAATCTAAAGTATCTAAAAATTTCTAGGGAAAATATGCTTAAATTGCGTAAAAAATACTCGTTTCATCAAAGGGACATTTGGCAACTCTCGAATGTTCATACTCCACGATTCGTCATAGAATATTGCCAAAAAAAGGGGGAAAAAAACAAGCAAACGCAAAGGACCATTCTGCCGTGCTTAGGAAAAACGCCGTCTGAGGCTTCAGACGTGGCCGAATTTTTACCGATAAAAACCGAATTCACTGGGAAAATTGTAAATATTTTCCCCCGAAATTTCCAGACAATTTTGTACGCAATTTAATCTAAAATATCTTAAAATTTCAAGGAGAAATATGCTTAAATTGCGTAAAAAATGGACGTTTCATCAAGGGGACATTTGGCAACTCTCGAATGTTTATACTCCACGAACCACGATTCGTCATAGAATATTGCCAAAAAAAAAGAGGAAAAAAAAACAAACAAACGCAAAGAACCATTCCGCCGTACTTAGGAAAAACGCTGTATGAGCTTTCAGACGTTGCCGAATTTCCTTCGATAAAAAACGATTATACCTACTGGGAAAATTGTGAATATTTTCCCCCAAAATTTCCAGACAATTTTGTACGCAATTTAATCTAAAACGTCTGAAAATTTCAAAGAAAGATATGCTTAAATTGCGTCAAAAATACACGTTTCATCAAGGGGACATTTGGCAACTCCCGAATGTTCATACTCCACGATTTGTCCTAGAATATTGCCAAAAAAAAGAGGAAAAAAAAACAAACAAACGCAAAGAACCATTCTGCCGTGCTAAGAAAAAACGCCGTCTGAGCCTTCAGACGTTGCCGAATTTCCTTCGATAAAAAACGATTTTCCTGGGAAAATTGTGAATATTTTCCCCCAAAATTTCCAGACAATTTTTTACGCAATTTAATCTAAAATATCTGAAAAAATTCAAGGAAAAATATGCTTAAATTGCGTCAAAAATACACGTTTCAACGAGGGAAATTCGGCAACTCTCGAATGTTCATACGGCATCCTTCCTTAGCACAGCAGCATTGGACCACGTTAAGCAGAAAGGAACGAAGCCACATCAACGATTGCCAAATTTACTTGGGCAATTTATTTTAAGACATGAAAACGGTTGTGCGGATTTTATTTCGAATTTTGGTGAATTTTCTGCAAAGCAAGAAACAAATTTCTTAAAATTTTCAAAGAAATCCGCACAGACATTCTCTTGTAATAAATTAATTTACCCAGTTCAATTTGGCAATGGCTGATGTGGTTTGGTTCCTTTCTGCTAAATGCGGTCCCATTTAGAAGTAAAATCACGCCGTGCTTCAGGAAGGGGGGGATGCGGATTTTGTTGGAAAGCATCGATTGAGCTGAATCGATTTTCCAGAATATTGATTCAAACTCTACAAATTGATGAAGTACCTATCCGAGGAAAAGCATTTTAATTTTTCCAAACTAAAGACTCGAATAAATTACTTTGGTAACTAAGGAAAGTGCCAAAAAATGTTGATTGATATTAGAAATTCAGCAAAGGAAAAAAAGCTAGGGCTTTCGAAAATTTTTCTGACTTTTCAAACGTACCACCTAGCACTGCATTTCCTGCAATTCTGAGCATTAATTCAGAGGAATGGACTGAAATGAGCCCCAATAATCATAATAAATATGGTTCATTTTTAAGCAACCTATTCACAAACATGATTAGCAGCAAAAATAAGGGAAGACATTTTTGGGTGAACACTACAATCACTTTTGCAAATATTTATCAATTAGCAATAGAGTTAGAAATCAGTTGTGTACACACTCTTCAAGCACGGTAAGAACACAAACTGATTGCCTCTGTGCTCTTAGGATATTGCCATCTACAGAAGAGGCACTAAGCAAAAAAACAAAGTTCTGAATCCTAACACATGCTCCCAAATTTCCATGAAATTTAATGTAGTAACAGAAAGAAACTGCTTCACTTTTCTTAATCAGAGTTTCCAGCAATTCCTGAGGGATGCATGAGAACAGTTTTCTGAAATTACAGCCAAAAAACTTTTGCTCTGGTTTTTCCGTAGGAGAATACTAACAATTTTGAGATAGTTTTAATATGCTGACATGCAGTTCATTACGTAAGTAAGAGGTGACTTTCATATAGATGATGGACCGACGCCCACTTAGTTCTCTCTGCTCAATCCGCACCAAAAAAGGATATTGCATAAACGAGACATTGACAAATAGGAAACTATTTTTTGCTAGCAATTAAATTCACATACCTAAATTTCATTTTAGGTGACGCTAACATCGTACTTAGGGAGGGAGAACGGTGCATGTACATCAAAACTAACGGTCAGGTGGTTCTGCTTTAAGAAATACTAGATTACGGCGGCTGCAGCATAGTATGTAAGGAGAATACTCTGCAGAAGAGGGGTGAGATTTCTTTTCCGACAAACTAAAGTACCCATTGGGTGCTTTACTGCGAGATAGACTATGAGTAGAAAATGAAAAAATTCAGATACGTGAGGAAGAGGAGTGAATTCTCGCCTTCATACAATGATAATAATTAGAACTTCTTCTAGGCATCCATAAAGTAAAGAAAGCAAGAGAGGAATGGATGTGGTTACAGGCGCGAGACAACAGCAAGATATTCCAAGTTTACTCACTTCAGAGTCGCCGTTGGATTCATGATTGTGGTTTTGCGTAGAGTTGCTCATTGTCTTGCCATTGACTTTCGAATTAGAATGCGATTTGTCTGGAGTCTTCAAGTAGACAACATTAGGTAGTGAGCTGGAGATGGTAAGGTTCTTATCCTTGAAGTAAGCATCGGTGTCACTATCAACGACCAAAAGTTTAGTTTCGTCAGGTACTATTTCAATCCTTTGAACCACTTGCTTATGACTTTCATCGAAAACATTTACACCGTTAACTTCAATAATTCTATCATTTGTTTTAAGACCTGCGGCTTCGGCAGGTGAATTTTCATCCACCTTGCCGATGAAATGGCCAGGTTTGCCTTTGTAAGTGTGGAGATTAAAACCAAAACCTTCAAAATCGGCCCACTTCAAGATGTGACACAACCTCGGGGCTGGAGCACTACTGGATAAGCTTTCGATGGACATTTTTAAGAACTGGAAAGGAAAATAAACAACCACATAAACACGAAACAACGTCAACTAACCATGAAATCCGAACGAGGGCACTATTCTCATGGTGAATTGATAACTGATTTGTTTTTACGTACCACGTTCGCGTAAGTACTTGTTGCTTTCGAGATCGCTCTCGCTTCGCCGGGCATTTTTGACTCATAGCGCTCTAACGGAAAACTGACGAACTATTTCACTGCTAATTCCAGAACCGCGTATCTCCATTGTGGTTTGTCAGAATTTTTGCTTCTATTTTGTTGTGACGAAGCAAAATAAATAAAGTCTTTAAATTGGAATTTCCTCGGAATCTTATGCCAAGCAAGCGAAAAAATCGCGGAAGTTTTAAAGAAATTCCGTTGATCTATTCACCTATGAAAAAATTTAGCATAACAGAGACAAGTTTGAATTTTTGAAATTTTTACAACCTATTATTCCAATTATTCCTCTATTCGAACAAAAGGAATCTTAACGGCAAATTCTGAACCAGAAGTTTTGATTGGTCCAGAGCGGTTCATTCCATTTATTCCGAGTTGAACAAAAATAAGTGGGAATTTCAAATAAAGCAGTGTTGTCGGTTTTACAAATTCCGGATATCCTGTTTGCCAAATCGTTTCCGTTTCCGGTAAAACAGTGTTGTCAGTTTTACCCAACGAATTTTCGTAAATTTGTCAACATTGCGGAAGCGGAAACGATTAAGTAAACAGGATATCCGGAATTATTTGAAATTCCCGCTTATTTTGGTTCAACTCGGAATAAATGGAATGAACCGCTCTGGACCAATCAAAACGTCTGATTCAGAATTTGCCGTTAAGATTCCTTCTGTTCGTAAAGTGGAATAACTGGGAAAATGCAGCAATTTGAACCAATTTCCGCAATTTGTTTACGTTTTGTCTGCTCTGCAACCTTGCAAGTGCCAAGTGGGAAGATGCGTTTTTTTCTCTGCACTGTGCGATTGTAATTGTACAATAGTGAAGCAGCCGGTGCCGGAGTTTTCTAGTTATTATCTATTCATTTTGGTCTTTTCCTTTTGTTAAGACTAAAATTTGTGCCGTTCAACCTGTTTGTAGAATCATTGCTGTCTTGGAGTATCCCTCATGCCCATGCACCATTCCTAACCCCTCAGATCAAAATGTGTTGTGCCATCTGCTATCACTGAATTCCGTTTTCTGACATGTGCTTCCCTAAATTTAAAATGTTCTTCACGTAATTCGACAAAAAATCGTTCTTAGCGTTTTATGACATTGAATTGAGTCAATCATTTCAGACCAAGTCAAGCCAAGTTCAAGATATGGAGGAATATCTACGGAAGTATGAAAAAATAGACTTTCTCGGAGAAGGACAGGTAAATATCACCTATTTCACCAATATTCTTCTTCAGCTGAGTAAGTAGCTGACACAGGAGACCTCTGTGCGAAGCCATGTGCGGCTGTCAAATGAGGCTTTTGATACCAAAATTGTCAAATTGATAAGGTAGAGGTGTCGTTAGATAAGTTGACCATTGTTTACTTTCAGTCTGCAAGCATTTTCGTGTCACTACTATCCACATGGAACAATCCAACTCTTGCAGAAGCAGGAACACAAGCAAAGATAAGTTTTTTAATACTTTAAAACCTTGTAACTTTTTAATTTTTAGCCACACAGAAATCACAACCATATAAAAGTTGCAATCATAACTGATAAGTAGTTTTTCATGATACCATCATGAGAGGGATATTTTTAAGGTGGACAGTAGCGAATGCTGCTTTGTGGCGAGGCTTAAATTTGTCGTCTGTGCTTGTAAACCGAAAGTAAACAATGGTCAATTTATCCTATGACACCTCTAGCATGTTTCCATTGAAATCTATCATGTTGGCCAAGTCAATTTCGTCGATATTCCTGCCACCTATGAGGGGTGATCATCCAATTGTTGGGCTTGTGTACAATGCTAACCAGCCAGCTAAATCATCAGGATCAGGTGAACTTCCAAACAAAAGTTTTGTCCCTCACTCATGGAGAAAGTAATCTCTCTGGGAAATCTGTATAAGTTTACCTTGCACTGTTATAATCCCTCACAAAGGACTAAATTCTCAAAGGAAATGCAAGACTCCTGTCCTGTCATATCATTGGAGTATCATACTGAGTTCCTAAATTGCTGCAATATGCACCATGTTCATCATGCTCTAAATCAGATGGCCCAAGTCTCCTGTGTTTCTTCGATCATTTCTACCGGAAACTTCAATCGCAGAAAATACTAAAAGCACCTAAACTAGTTTTTTTTTTTTGCTTTTACAGTTTGCAACCGTCTACAAGGCACGGGACGTTGACACTGATACTGTTGTGGCTGTTAAGAAAGTAAGTTTGTACTTCTTCGACAGCATAGATTTCTGCAAACACAAATTTGATTTGAAGTGGTTCTCTTCATTTTAGCCCCATTTATGTTATAATCTCATGTCAAATACCTGAAACAGCAACTTGACCAGTGGGTTAATGGTCTAATTGATAAATTTACCTAGCTTGCTAATAATAAAAATGCACTGAAAATCTGAAACAATTGCTTCTCTTAAATGGAACAGTCAGTGAATGAGAACAAACATATTCACAGTGGTTCTGAAGTGACTATTACTTTTAAAATTGACCGTAGCCCAAGGGAAAGCAGTATTTTGGAAATTTGTCATGTACTCATTCATTTAAAACCCGTTTGTCCGCTTGTCAGCTTGAAGATGTGAAATTTACCAAACATAAAATTGCAGAAAACTCTTGAAAAAGTAGTGAATTAGACCAAAAATGAAATGCCTATGAAGTATTTTTTGCAATAAAAACAAATGAAATGTATGAATTACCTCTCTGTACCTCTTTGATCACAAAATATTTACATAAAATTCTTGAACTCTGATTATTTATGACTTCTTTACTAACTTTTCTACTTACAACATTCAAACTCTTAAAAAAACAAGTACCAGCTCTACACTTTTTTTCCAAGTTATTTTATGAGGTGTACTACTAGGAGTCACAGTTCTAAATCTCTGTTGAATTCAATTTAATGAAGAATTCTCAAGTTACCAGAAGGCTCATGTGTCCGAAAAATCGTCAGGAATTGAAATCCAACGATTTTTGTATTGTATAGGAACTATGTTCAGTTCTTTACATCCGCTGACATTATTATAATATGGAGGAAAATATAAAGGAGTTTAATGTAACATTGGGCATAGCAGCAGTCAAGTATTTTGACTCATCTACAGAATTTATTTTATACCTTTTTTTTGTTCTTGGGTAGAGCAGTGATTTAATACTATTCATTTTCTCTCTGTTACAGATCAAAGTTGGCACTGCTGCGGATGCTAAAGACGGTATCAACCGTACAGCCTTGAGAGAAATCAAACTTCTGCAAGAACTTCATCATGAAAATATTATTGGTTTAATTGGTAAGATGCAACCTTTTAAATAGACTGAGTACATGATAGTTCCTCGCTAATTTTAGCATCTTGTGTGTGTGTAGGTAAACGATATTGTGCCTCAACTTATTCCTTGGGATACCTGGATACTATGAGAGAGATTTTTTTTTTTTTTTTTATGGTCAATAATTCAAACTCAAAAGTGTTGGTCCATCTTGGCAAAAATTGTTTTGATGAAAATATCTGTCTTAAATCGAAGGTCCTGCTTTCTGTTGACGGTTATGAATAGAGGATGACTACTGTACAGAAATAGTATGCATTCATTGAATAAGAACACGTTTTGATAGTTTGGGTGGGTTTATGGAAAACTTACAGATTTTAAATATAGAGGTAAGGAAATTCTAGATTCACTTCAAGGGAGAACCTTGGAGGTGGAATGTTCGTATATAAATTGATGTTGATTACATGACGATGTCTCAGAATCCTAGTTAAATTCTGCTTGTTTCACTTTTTTTCTTTAACTCCAAAGTTCTTTATTTTTCGCGAAAATCTGTCCCTGTTGAGTGCTCCAAATACATTTTAGATATGGGAATAGTGCTGGAAAAGTAATGAAAAAGTAAGGACTTTAGGAAATCTCTGAAAAGAGGATTGCTGTGGGAAGCATAGAGAAGTAAAAAAAGCTAACGAAATAGCAAGAATAATAGTGTACTAGTAGACACCCTGTAACTAATTTGTTCCAATCAAAAATTTACTCGTTTTACCATTGATGTCTGCCCATTTGTCTCTTCATCATTTGGTCAACTCCTTATATCTTTCATGATGACCTAGAAAATGCAATGCAACTAATTTTTATAACCATAAAATATTAATTTTGAAGAACCAAACAGAAGAACAATACTTTTCTTTGAAGAAGTTTTTGCACTAGTAATAAAGGGAGAAATAATATTTTCTAAGAAATGTCAACAATATTCTGACCCAAATTTTAGAAAACTAGATTCTAAGAACATCTTCACTAAACTAGTACCTTGTTAACTCTATTTTATTTCGACTTTGTCTTTGCAGATGTCTTTGGATACAAGTCAAATATATCTCTAGTTTTTGATTTTATGGATACTGATCTGGAAGTCATTGTCAAAGACACAAGTATTGTGCTTGTACCTGGGCACATTAAAGCTTACATTCTCATGACACTGCAAGGCCTAGAGTATCTTCATATGAATTGGATCCTGCACCGGGTAAGAATATTTAAGAGAAAAGGCCGTACATTCTACAAAATTTGATAAGCCACAATTTTACCATCACGAAAATGTATTTAATAAATCCTTAAACTCTAAAGTGCTCATTCGTTTGCTTGTATATGAAGGAAAAACAAATCATACAATCTTTGTAATGTAGATATAGGATACACAATACTATTGGCTTGGAAAGTGTCTCGAGTGCACTCTGAAAGGAATTTGAAAGAAGGTGTTCAAGGTATGTGAATGCAAAGTAACAATGTTAGAAAAAAAAACTCCCCAAGAGGTTATTTCCATTCATATGACAAGAAAAAACTTTGATTATAAGTTAGTAGGGGGATTATGGACTTTCCAGATACTCTGCGTGATCTTTTCACATTTCTCAGATTTTTTTCTTTCTTTTTTTTTTTCAGGATTTAAAACCAAACAATTTATTAATTAATAGTCAAGGCATACTGAAAATTGGTGATTTTGGTTTAGCAAAAGTTTATGGTTCTCCAAGTCGAATCAACACTCATCAAGTTGTTACGCGGTGGTACAGGTAAACTTTGCAAAAAGTCTTACTTTTATAGGTTTTTCACCCAAAAAACTTGAATTTTAAATCTTCAATTTATATTTGAGAATGAAATTCAGGCTTTCTTTTATAAATTGTCTCTCGCTGTTCAATTGAATTGCTAATTCTAATGACACTCCATCATATTTTCTTTTTTATATTGGTATGTTAAGCAGTATTGATACATTATTTTTCTAATTTATTTTCTTGTATTAATTTGCAAATCTTGAATTCAAAGTTGAAATTGACAGCATTCCTATCGACGAAATATCAGCCTCTTGTTTTTGCCATAGTCTGAAAGGAACTTAATTTTTTAATTTTCCTTCTGCTTTCACAGATTATTTCAGTAGTACAGTTGTATTTTAAAGGTGTAGACTCTCGTGTTTTGAATATCTTAGTATAAACGAATAACCGAGAATGACTGAAAAGTAAAGTGGTATAAGGATCTTAGCACCTACATCTAGCTTTTTCATTTATAAGCTCTGACTGACTTCCAGGTGTCCCGAGTTACTATTTGGAGCGAAATTGTACGGTGTTGGAGTAGATATGTGGGCCATAGGCTGTATTTTAGCCGAGTTACTGTTACGAGTACCTTTCCTTCCGGGAGATTCAGATTTAGATCAATTGAGCAGAATATTTCAAGCTTTAGGAACACCAACGGAGCAGACATGGCCAGTAAGTATCTTGTCCTTTTTCTCCGTAACCAGTCACATAAGTATTCAAATCATGTAATTTTAAGTATCTCATTTTTTATAAAAGCGGATTTTTAGACTGATTCTGCTTATAGGCTATCAATTGGACCGAGTTTAACAGGAACATCTCAACTTTGAACGGAGAGGAAGAGGATTGAAGTTTTGTTCCTCCTTAAGACACGATGAATGAAAAATGAATAGCAAAGAAGACCCAGGGGAATAGAGAAAACTGTAAAGAAATTGAAAGAAGAGGGAAGAAATTAAAATGAAATTTAAAGAAGGAAAAACAAATTAAGAGAGAGAGAGAGAGAGAGAGAGAGAAAAAAGGCCCCTCCCGATGCAATAACCATGTGTCATTAGTAGGTATTTTCTTTATTTTAAGGATTGTGATTTTTTTGTAAGTTTTTTTCGTGGTATCTCTTTCAAATCAGTAAATATCATTTTAAAGATTACTGTAATGTGAAGAATCAAGTTTTTCAACCATTCTCCTGTTCAAAATATTCTTTCTCAGCTTTGAACTTTGGACTCGAGAAAATATAGGTGTGACTATTCAATTTGAAAGTGAAACTACTCCCAATGGATATTGGGAGTAGAAAAAATATGGGCTGTGCAGTGCTTCACACTAAAATTCGACTACTTGGGATAAAGGTTAGACCCAGTCAAGTTTTTGGTAACCATGCAATTCAATTAAAGTAATTAATAATCTAATCTATCCAATAATGTGGTAAATTGGCTGCTAAGGCACCTTTTGACCATCAGATTTTGGTACAACATTATATTCTGCCACAAAACAGAATTTCCCTAAGGCCTATATGTTCATTTCAGGGTGTGACGAGTCTAAAAGAATATATTCAGTACAAGCCTTTCCCAGGGACCCCTTTAAACCACATATTCACCGCAGCAGGGGATGATTTATTGGATTTGATTGCCGGCTTGCTGGCCTACGACCCATCAAAACGAGTGACATGTACGCAAGCCTTGAAAATGCCATACTTTAGGTCAGTATTTCAAAAGTTCAATATGAGGCAACGATCTAGGAATTATAGATAGGGGGTTCCTATGCTACGCAAACAGTGAAATTCGTAACACACCAGGAGCTACAATTAGGTTAGGGCGAAGATAGTCAGTTTTTGTGGCTTCTTATGGGACTGCTGCTGAATACAAACTCATATCAAATTTAGAACCAACTGTTTGAAAATCTGTGTTCAGATATGGAACTTAGCCATTTATCAAGTGCGTTTACGATGAAAATTTCAATGCTGAATCATTTATTCTAAAGACTCCCGTAAGATTCCATGTATTTGAGGTTATGACAAAGATAGCAATCGTCCATTTCCACACCCCGCCCGCCTATCGAACGAAGACTCCATGTGTGTTACGTTTTTTTGTAGGCCACCACCATTCTATAGTGTCTATATCGTTGATTTGAGGGCAGGAAATAGGAAATGAAAATGAGCTTCTAATGATTTTATCCTTTTACTGTTCAGCATTTTTTCACTGTGTGTAATTTTGTGAGATGACAATGCCATAGCAGTTAGGAGACTCCGTTCCCACCCTTTACTCAGTGGGCGGTCAATAGGAATTGATAGACAAAGCAATAGGCAAATGAGACAAAAGGAAAACGGAACAATCTTATTGGTGGAAGCAGGTGTTTGTAATGGACTTAGGAGGTAAGTATTAGACAAAATAATGCAATACACAATGAACCCTATTGTTTAGTTTATAATTTTCCCCCTTAATCTATAACTACCACCCGTTTCAACCAGGATCGCACCATTTTCCCGTTGTCTCCCTTGTCTATAGATTTCAATAATCAGCCTGCTGAATGAAAAATATAAGGGTTTTTTTTTGCTCTGAAGTTGTGCTTGGACAATGTTAATTCTTTGATGATAACATAGCTCATGAGACCTAGTCTAGATCTTCGCAGGTTTACTTTTTCTAGAGGGAAATATAACTTTTTATCAAAAACATTTATTTTTGAGATAACATCCTTGGGAATGCAATATTGGTGTACAAAATTTTGACACTAAGATGTCAATTAGAATAAAAAAAAGTGTTGTTGTGTTGTAATGTTCTGTTTTCCTCGTCAAGCCATCAACTTGTGAAATTTTTAACTTTAAATAAATGTATTTTATCTTATTTCAGTAATAAACCAGCGCCTACGCCTGGTCCTAGTCTGCCTTTACCGTACGCTATTCAAAATAATCAGAAACCATCTTTAAAACGGAAACTAGGAGATTTACCTGATGGAGGTAAGGAATTTTACTTGAAATTTCTTGATTCCTGCTACCAATATGTATTTAGCTCTAAACACTTAGTCTTCTTAGAAACCTACTACTATCTACCACTTGAATAGATCAAAATCTATTCAAGTGAAGCGCAAATTTGCCTATTTCTAACATGTTTTGCATGCATGTCTGCTCATTTTTTCAGCTCTAGTTTCATGATAAATGTATACAGCTGATGAGTTTAGCATTCAGCTTAAATAGCCATGGTAGCTGATCATTAATTAAATACCTAAACTATATAAATAGACATAACATCATAAAAAATTTCAACCTCACAAAAGTGAGCAAAGCAAGCTGGAAAATCTAGTTTTAATCTCCATGTGTGTTTATCTGCCAGCCAGTTTCAACTTGTTGATTTGCGACTGTTTGATTCTTTATTCCCTTTGTTACAGCAACACAACCCAAAAGGCTGTTGTTCTAACTGAAATGAAGAAGAAGATATCTAGCGAAGACAGTTTCGAAAATTCCCAGAAACAGTGGTTTGTCTCAGTAAGTTTTAAATTTTTCTCTTCTAGTCGTAAAAGAAAAGAAGATTATAAGTTAATCCGTTTATGAAGACAACATACAACATGTCCATAAAATCAAAAAGCGAAATAGTGTAGTTTCGACGATTGCATTGTGGAATGAATCATTTAGCCCCAACCAATATTTAAACCTTTATTTTGTCTTTTTTACCCTAATATTTTTCCCTGTTCTACAACTATTTCTTCTAGTGCTCAATAGTGATTTGTTTCCACTTTACATGGCTACTATGAATAAATTGCAGATATTTCCCTAAAGTTTACAAAATTATATAATTCTTGATCCCTGAAGGAATCTGAGTTGCAACAGAACTGTACCTCCTTTTATAATGATTGCCTTTTTGTGCTGGATAGAAATAACAGAACTAACATTTCTATACTGCCATGCTGAAGAAAAATGCCCCAGGGACATTCGCTTTTTGCCAAATTTCTCTGCCTCAATCCCTCAAATATTAATTTTTGAGAAAAATTATGAAATTCCTTTTCTTCCTGAAATTTTCAAATACTTTAGATCACATTGCACAGAAAATTCACTGAAAAATTGGACGGAAAATATTCACAGGTTTTCCTGAAAATTTGTGTTTCATCCAAGGAAATTTGACAATGCATAAAAATCCATACAGCCTTCTTCCGTAGCACAGCAGATTATCTTTACTCTAGACTGATGGATCAATGTTATTGTCTGCCGTAAATTCTCCGTGGTGCTCTTGTTAAATCTCGTTTTTGAGAAGATCCATAGTTTTTCCTTTCATCCACGGAGTTTTTGATCGAGTGTTGATTCAAAATCTTTCTATCTGTCTGATTTCGTTCGTGTTTTGACCGGTTAATTTTTAGCAGATAAACATCTGTCGTACTATTGTATGGAACTTCAATGACGGGTATTTGTCTCTTGCTGTTCCGAACCTCAGGAGATCTGAGACGGTTCCGATTTTCAGGAGCAGGTGATGAGGCCTTCTCTGAATCTGGCTGAGTGTAACAAGGACTCTCAAATATGGGTGTGTTGTGGATCTGGTCCTTTAAATCGCATTTCATGTGGTCTTCCTCATATGTCATGGGCACCGGAAAAAAATTTTCGGTAATATTTTGTGCCTGAAGCATGCTTCCACCTCCCTTTATTCGATCTACCTCAGCTTTCCTCATAGGATTATTGTCTGTTATGAAAATATTTAATTCGTCTTTCAAGCGCTGTTTTATTCTGGATTCTACATTTGTAACAATCTCTTTCGCACAATGAGACTCGATTGTTCTTTTACCCAGAAGACAATCATTTTGGGGAGTCGATTCTTTCGCGGTACAGAGCATATGAGGACTGTGAACAAGGCAGGCATTATGAGAGTGTTGCGTCTTTTCCAAGTGTCCAGCCGGATAATTCAACCTGGAAATCATTGGTGTACCGCTATTTGAACAGACCGAGGCCTGCCCTTGGCACTGAGACTCTGCTCTGTGAGATAGGGGTGCATGCAAACAAGAATGGTTGGTTTCTTGGGTTGGCCGAAAATGAAAGCCATGATTTATCATACAAGTGCAAGAATAAACGAGGTAAGGATTTATCGCAGGGATGAAGCCACATTTATTTTCCATATCCATCGGGATTTTGGTTAACAGATCAGCGAGGAGAGCCATCGGTTTAACATCTTTTTTGAGCTGCTGCCCCTCGCGCTTGCAAGGAAACAGCTTAGCCTCAAGTTTCTGTGACTCATCCACCTCAGGGTTTTTAGCTGTATTGATGAGACAGGTGCAAGAGCAGGAACCCACACCTAGTTTCTCAATGAACTCACCTCGCTCATTTACCTGTTTTCCATTTTCACCCGAAGCTCTCTCCATATCAGTCGCAGGCGAGTCGCTGGATTCAGTTAATTGATTTTGATGAGTCAATTTGCTTGCCTTATTCAAGCAAGGGCAAGGTGATAAATGCATCAGGTGATCTCCCACAAGGCAAGGACAAGGTGGTTCTACACTACCATGTCTTTGACTGGAGTCCTTCTCATTTTTCACGCTTTTCCGTTTGTTCGAACTTTCCTTTGGAGACGGTAGTGTCAGAAATGTTTTTGCCAGACACTGACCTTTAGTCAATTCACTCATGAATTCTTTAGCCTCAAGATTATCAGTTTTTTTCGTGAAGTTAATGAAAGGGCAATTGCATTTTACCTCTGGTTGGTCATCTACTTCTGATTTTGATCTCATAATTTCATTCATCTTCAGTCGCTCCGCAATTTTATCCTCTCGATCAGCTTCCCCTGATGATGGAAGCTCAGAGGCCAGGATTGGTTCTGCAGATGATGTGCCTGTATTCTCCTTGCACTGTGCATCTTTTTCGCAGGGATGAGCGTCTTTTTTTTCCGTCTCTCGAACATTATCAAAACATGCTTCTTCTGTCGCTTTGGTTTTTCTAATAGAAAATTCAAGGGCTGCCTTCCATGTTTCACTATCAGCCGATCCTTTTGATAGAGATTTGAGGTTTTCTGTGATTTGTTCCGTTACTCCAACTGGACTAACCTGTTCACGTTCACTGTTCTCGCCAGAATCCACTGTATGGTGAAGTAAGTTGTTCAAAGTTCTACTGAAATAGAAGTGTGTGATCACACGTCTTCCCATATCCCTCACTCTGAAGTAACCTGTCATGTGAGCAATAACATTTCCTTGTGTATCGCACATGAAAAACTCATTGATTTTTGTCTCGTTCATATGCGAATCTTGCACGAACCCTTGGACCAAGTCCGTGGAGAACAAAGGCAAACGCATGTTTTTAGATGCAAGGGATTTTTTCTTATCTGTGCCCTTAATTTCATCACTGACAGCCACTGTTACCTCTAAACTTCGACAGAGCTCCAAGAGCTGTTCATCACGAAGCGCGAACAAACAGCTTGCGCCTTTGTTTAACTCTAAAGATGATTCCGCCTTTTTTTCGCTGTATTCCGTTTCTTGCACTTCCAACTTGGAATATTTGAAGAGAGTAAAGTTGACAAAAGTTCTACTCAACCAATTATCACTTTTAAAAAATGGAAGCTTATCGTAGTACACTTTAATGGTTTTTATGTAACAGTCCATAAGAAATAGTTGGTCAGTTTCCATTTTAAGGCTGAATAACTTTATATGTTTACAGAATCAATTTTGGGTTAGGCATACATACTCTTAGAATTTTGATGAGAAAAAATTAGGTCGAGTGTCAAAAACCTCACCCACCCTCTCTATTCAGTTTAATTTCTAACTTTCACAAAAAAAATTTGGTTTGATAAAAATAACAATAATTTAGCCTTATTACATTTTTTAAAATTTGGTTGGCCCTGGTAACCAATGCTAACTGTTGAGTTATCTGTGTCAGCTGATGAAGAGGTTAGATTCTTACAGTTTACAATTTTAACTGTTATGATGTGGAAACAATTATTTTTTCCATTCTGTTACCTAATAAAGTGGAAACTTCTCTTGTACTGTTGATCAAGTTTTGGAAATATGTGTGTAGGCCCATGTATCTTTCATTGTCCTAAAAATGCACATATTTTGTCAGGAATACCCGAAATTAATCCCTGCTTTTCACTCATAATCAATAAGCATTACCTCTCTCTTCAGAGGTACGCACAAGGAAAGCGTTTAAATTAAAAGACAATTTAAGAGATGAGAGAGAAAAGAATGTGAAAAAAATTGGTGAAGAAGGAATTGAGAAGGGGAAGAAAGAAGAGATCAGAAGTATCAAGTAACTCCTCTTCTCTTTTTTAAATCTGTAACATTCTATGAAAGTGGATCGCTTCACATCTTTTAAATTCTAAGTACAAAATTGATTGGTTTTAACATTGACTTATAACAAAGAGGCTAAAAAGTTACAGCTGAAGAAAAATGATTAATGAAGGAAGCTGATAATGCTGATTCAGTGATATTTTTTTCTCTGTTTATGGAATGAGCTCCCCCAGAAGAAAATTTAGTTGAAGCACTATGCCCCTAATTTCTTTTCAAAATTGTACGAAGAAAATGAATCACACAACCGAAAATCTTTAAATGAACTTCTAAACAAGATGTGTTTTAATTAACATAGGTTAATGACATTTACATACATACTAACTTCCATTTGCTCTGTGTTAGCTTTCCGAACTTCCTGTCGTTTAAATTGTTTTCGGCACAAGATTATAAGGAGATATTATGTGATATTTTCTTTTAGTTTAGACCTTCTCTAATGGCCCATTCAGATTTGAAATCAAGTTCGCCAGATATATCGCAAGGACTAACATGCTGCTACTCATGGATATTTTCCAGTTATCATGAGCTCAATTGAAGCTGCTGATAGTATTAACCAGAGTTGATTATACTTAAGAAAATAATATTTCTTGTCTGTTCACAGGTGGAGTCTACCTCCATGCTGCAACTCAAAGGCTCATCTCATCGCTTCCGGTTGTTATTTCAAGTGATTACAGCTGTCTGGTACCTTCAATTAGCAACTTATTTCAAAAAAATTTGCATTTGCAAAATGCTGTATAGCAAACACCTTTTTAAATCTAGTTGCCTTGTTTAAAATTTACGCTTGATTATTATTATGTATTATTTAAGTAGGTAGCTTTTTCAATTTTTAATTATATTTTTCTAATATTTATAAAATTGTTTTTATTCTAGCTAGTCAAACTGCACCTCTCTCAGCTTTCCTCAGATCTATTTTGCAGATTGACGATTTAGTCTTTTTCTACAACTTTAAAATTAACTGCTAAGTAAAATTTCTAATACTGGCTCGCGGATCCACTGTTTGCCATAAAGAAACGCTTTAGTGCTCTCTGATGTTAAATCAAATCAAAGGTCATGCATTGAATAGAAACAGAAAAAAGGTAAACCAAATCGAGGTATGACTATGGATTGCATTTATTGAATAAAAAAAGACCATTTGTAAGGGAACATCAATTATTTCTGGGCTTCAGATTGCCCTTCAGTCTTCAATATCTGCAGCTCATATTGACAGTGAACTTGCAAAAATGCGTACCTCAGTAAACATGCAACATAAAAATGCAATGTTTCAAGATCTCAACTTGCAATTTATTTCTTTAAACGAAGCCAAACTAACATCATAAATTGAGGTTCTTGCTGGATATCAATATTCTTCACATTAAGAAAAAAATCACCGAAATTTTCAAGGAGTGATGTTCAGTAGTTTTCCTTGTAAAAAATAAAGTATGACAAGAAGTCTACAATGGTGAAAAACGAAGTACGCATTTCTGAAATTTCCCAATCAAATTGTTGCCTAAATTACATACATATCACAGTTAAATATGGCAAATTTTAGAGTACGGAACAGATCAAAAGTAAAAAGTAACAAAAAAGTAAACAGTTCTTTACAAAAAGTAGAGATCTTCTGTTACGCCATGAGCCATCTTTGATTCTTCAATCAAGAAAACGACCGTTCGATTTGCTGTTAGATTCAGTCACTTAGCTGACAGAGCAGAGCCACTCCTCTCATGATCCAGTGTTTATGAGGAACTTCCGAACTGAGCAAAATGTTGGTGATGAAATTCGATGATGAGCCCAGCACCAGAATACGGCCCTTCCTTTCCGGTGTCTGATACAGCGGTGTTAGAAATCTATCTTTTGCATTTAAATTGGCTTGAAGAACAGGCTTGAACCAAATGACAGGCATGGCATCGAAAAGAACTTTAACGTACTGCTCTTGCAAACATTTCCTGCAAAGAAAAGTACGAAATTGTTTCAACAAACATGCGTTATCTGATGGATATTTTGAAAGTAACAGCCTCTTGGTTCGGGTTATAAACTTACTAAATTTGGCAAGTCAAAAATTTAGGATTATTTGGACAGCATTGATTAGAAATAGGCTGGTTGTTCCTCGTGCTTTATTTCTTTTCAACAGAAAAGTAAACAACCCCTTCCACAAAAATCGTTTGTGTGAATTCTTTATAATGGACCACTAGACAAGGTACGAATTTGAGCATTCAGATACATGTTTCTTCACCAAGATTTCACGTAAAACTTGATGCGCACAACGAATATTACCGAAATCAACTCCTTCCAAAGATATTAATGATTCTTGGGGCGTGGATTCAAACCACCCGCTCATGAAAACTCAATGCTATACTTGATTCACATCGCTCGCAAACGTTATCATGAATGTCTCTGCGATGAAAAAATCTGGCAACCTCAATCTTGACGCTTTAGCTCGGCTATAGCAAATTACTTATAGTTTGAAAAACACATGGTGGGAAATGAACATTGCTTGATTGAGAAGCTTGCTGAAACCGTTGTAGTGCGAGGTTTGACTCACGTAGAGCTTTGAGTTTCTTGTGAGCGGGCAGTTCAAATTCCTCGTAACAAATGTGAAATAAAAATGTTAAAAGCTTCGTTAGGTGTTGGTTTCAGTAATTTTCGTTGCGCGAATCGTGTTCTACGTGAAATTCTGGTTCAGTAACATGTATCAGAATGTTTAAATTCGTACCTTGTCTAGTGGTCCATTTTGGGTGAATTTAGAGAAAGTTATAAAATGTAATACGTAATGCCAAAATGAAGATCAGGTTAAATCAATTGCAATACAAGAAAAATGCTTTCTCCTAGAACTGTGTCCTCTGAACCTCATTTGACTAGAATGATCCAATTTTCTGCTCCTAGTTATAAAAAAAATACTCACATGTTTCGATCCCACCTTGCTCCTTCCAAATAAAAACCGAATCCATAAACTCCAGAGACAGGGGCTTCTGACATTGATTCCAGACTTAAAACTTCATGATCAAAGCTCAAAATATCGGCAGAGATGTTATTACTTTTGGCATGCTCATGCAAACAAGTATGCAGAAACGCATTCACATGGAAAAAACTGGAAAGCCATACTGATGTGGGATGGGAGCCAGCATACCATTTCTGAAACCAAAAGTTACGCTGTTTGAAATGAGTGGTTAGATCAGCTGATAAGGCTCATGAGCATCTCATAAATTTCCTTTCCGAAATGTTAACATTAATTACTGCGAAAACAGAGAAGAATCGGAAAATTAAAAAACTCAAACTCACAAAATAAAATTAAAAAGCCCTAAGTGGGCTTTTTAATTTTATTTTGTGAGTTTGAGTTTTTTAATTTTCCGATTCTTCTCTGTTTTCTCATTTAATTAGCTCACAGTTTGTTACCTCGGTTTTTTCCGTTAGTTTCGTTTGTTTTCGACTCTTTCGGTTCGTATATTAATTACTGCTCTAATGCCGCACCTAAAACTTTCATCTTAGCAAGTTTCTCGCCATTACATGAAAGGCAATGGGTCAGTTGCGCTGGTCACAGAATCGTGTTTTGGTGCTTTATTTTTGCAGATCAACTAAAAATAATAATATCTGTTCAAACAGCATCTTTCTACGTTGAATATTAACTGAGATATTGCGCCTTGAAAAACTCCTTATATGATGTCATCCACAGCGGTAGTACATTCCATGTTATGCACTACCGCAGTGGATGATGTCAAAAACCCGACTTTATTAAGGACGATACCTCGGTTTGTATTCAATGTAGAAAGTTGCTGTTTGGACAGACCTCCTTATTTTTAGCTAATCTACAAGAATCAAGCATCAAAACACGATTCTGTTACCAGCGCATCTGGTCTATTATTTCAATGCAAAGGACAAAAACACATAAGCCTTTTTATTAGGTTTTAATCATTCAATTAACTAAAATTGGAATTCCTTATTGAAACTTATAGCTTTGTTCACTAGTCAAAATTGTCGCTGTGCACTTTCAGTTTGATTGTGTGGCTAGCGATGATAGTTTTCAAATTTCCACACTTTTTCATCAAAGTTCCTGACTTTCTGAACTGTTGACATTTCCTAAAGATTTCCAGTTTCTCAGTCTTGTAGACACCCTGCGGCACTCATACCCTCAATATAGTACCCGGTTTTAACTGATTGGGTGTGCTGAAAGAGTCAAGTCTATATTGGATAGAAGTCTATATTGGATAGAATGGCGCACTCAAGCCTAATGGATGCACACGATGACCCTTTGCTCGCTAACTTAATTCAAATTCCATGTTGCACATATTCATTGCACAGTGAGGGAGGGAGAGTGGGGGAGACTGCAGCAAGAAAGACTTTAAGACATGGAGAGGAATATTCATGCCCTTAGACCCTCATGGGTCAAATACCCTTGCTTCTTGAGACTTCTTCCTTGGAAATAAGCTCCCTCAAGCCACATCAAATCTTACTTGAAATAACTTTTTCATTACCTTTAAGTACCCGAATCTTTTCGTGAAGTCAGTTACGTAATTAGACAAGCTCTTTGTGCTAGGATAAGAGGACTTGAACCAAACTGCTGGGCACTGATTGTTGTTAAGAGCCCGAGCGATCTCATCAAGCTGAGAGTTCATTAGAATGATGCCTTTGACTCCATTTTGCAGATTACTCAGGGAAGACTGGATTTTCAAGCGTAGACAGTTAAACAGATTTAGTTCATGAGATAAAAAGCAGGTAAGAGAGAAACTACGGCTTTCAGATTGGCCTCTTTCTCCTCCTTGAAAGTCGTAACGCTCTGGTAGCTGCAATGGAGAGAGAAAACTTGAAATTAGAGGGAAAAAGAAGTAGCAATTATATTGATTTTTTTTTCATAAGTCTTAAAGATTGGAAACCTAACTGGTATTTCTCTAAATTGTAACTCTCATGTAAAGTAATAACTCTCTGGTAGCTGCAACGGAGAAAGAAAACTTAAAATCAGAGGAAAAAAGAAGTTGTGATTACATTGATTCTTTTCATAAATCTTAGAGATTGGAAAAGTAACTGGTATTTCTCTAAATGGATAGTTGCTCACTACATGGAGTAAGTTTACTTGCCGCCAGCAACCGCTTGCCCAAGTCTCGGGCTGGTTTGCACGACCTCTCCGAGCTTGGTAGCAGAAAATTCAGGAGGCTGCGCTGCACTGAGGATTGGCCCAACAAGGCTAAAGCGCGTCTGCAGTTGCCTTCCTGAATGGTTGTTACTAGTGTCCAAACAGTGTATCTCTTTGAAGGAAAATTTTGCTTGTGTGTGAGCTTTTTTTCTCTGCGGTGAGATATCAGCTTTATGCTGAATTTAACGCAGGTTAGCTAAAAGCTCCAACATACCGTACTTCTCTAAATACAATAAAATTTGAATATACTATCTGAATTTTTCGGTTTTTCTCTGTCCTGAATGCTGGAAATCCATAACATTTCTGAAACGCAATTTGAAAATATGACAGATTTTCAAACCTAGGCTTATTATTCAAGAATTCGAATTGAGGGGGTTGGAGGTCAAGGCGCATAAGTGCAGCTTTTGCTATTTTGAGAAATACGTCTTCGAAGTTTGAAATCAAATGGATCTTAATGGCAGAAAGAGAGTTCAAACTGACTTTTTTAAGCTTAAAATTGGAATTTAGAAGCTAATATTTCACAGAATATATATTAAGACTAGTTTTACTTACGATCATTAATAACTCAATTTTTTAAAAAACTGCACTTGTGCGCTTTGTCCAGTGTCCACCAAGCCCCTCAATTGCTGTGACTCTAAAACATTCTAATTTTTACATCGGTAAAAATACTAATTCATCCAGCTTTAGAAAGTTCATCATTGCTGAAAATTTTATAGAGAATATACTCAATCAACTCACCCTTTCCAAAATCTCATCGGCAATATGGAGAGCGTTCAAATAGAAATCAGAAGAGTCATCGATCCAGCCACTCTCTTGAACGAGTGAAAGTGTTTTTAGGAAAGTTCTAGTGGACTCTAGATCCCTTCTCATGCCAGCATTGATGTGCAGACCAAAAATTTCTGGCGGAGCTATGAATGGTAATTCCTGAAATGTTGAGCGCATTCTGATATTAGAATAGAATACAAATAGAAGAGCCCAACCGCCCTAGCTGCTAGTAAATCCTGAAAATTTGAGCACATTCTTCAGGAAAATTGCTGTAGTAGACAAAACACTACGCTATTTTATCATGCCAGCTGGTTTCACTTATTTGATTTGACAGGTTTTTACAGGTTCTGCGTGATAAATTCTGAAAGGAGCTGACTTACAAGATTTTAATTAGCACACAATTTTTTATTTTGAAGGTTCAACAATCAGGGAGTGAGGTCTGTATTACACATTATTCTCATTGACATAAAATAGATACCTGAATGCACTCACTTTATCTACCTGATGAAATATTACATTCTGAGATACTGGAACAGAGATGCGCCCTTTTAGCTTCCAGCTCCTTCAATCATGCAGAAAGGACCTCAGATCAATTTGATACTACAGGGCCAATTTTTCCTTCTTTTGTGGGCCCTACTCAGAGCTTCTAATAAGTACTCGTAAATCACTATCCCATTTGGGCAAAAAGAATCCAGGCACATCGAAAAAGCTCTCAGAGTACTCACCGTTATAGATGAAACAAATTCATGATAGTCAGAGCAGATGGGGATCTGAGTCTTATCGTTACCAGGGTTAAATAAATAGTTTGGGTCATTGACGATATCGGCATTACAATAGTTGGATAGGATGGTGATCAAAAGTTTTCGATCAAGTTCGTCGGTAATTCGACCACCATAGTTGCATTCACCAATTATGTAGTTGATAGTTCCATAAGGCACGGCTGAATAATCATTGATTAACATCTGAAAAATGAAGTGTCAAAAACCAACTAGTCTATCAAAGAAGTTTGCAAACTTTATTTTGTTTTGAACATAAAACCCTTCCTCTAAATCTTCACCTCCCGGCCAAAGTATCAGAAGCGCCATGCAACGTTCAAAAATTTCCACCACCCTTTTATTTATTACAGAGAAATTATCGGTTGAAGCTGTCCGAAAGTTTCACTGAATTTTCTTTGTGTAGCCGATAAAATTCGGTGAAATTTTCAAACGGATTCGACCATGAATTTCTCTGTAAAAAAATAAAATGCCGGCAGAAATTTTTAAACGTCGTATGGCACTTGTGATACTTTGGCCGGAAGGCGCCGATATGTACTTGCTACTTTTTTATTGAACGGAGGTCACGTGAAAGGAGGAAGAGTTATTTGAACTGTTTAAAAAAATTGAACACCCTTGAAGTTAACAGAAGCTCTGCTGAAGGTTACAACGCTATTATCTTTTAAAAAAAGTGGTAAATCTAAAAATTTGGGCAGAATTGAGGTAATAAATAAGGGCTTAAATTTAATAGTGAATTAAATAATTAATATTCGAAAAATTACAAATGTAAACTTCTATTAATGATGGTTTAAACAAACCTGCAGCTGAGTGATGGATATGTGAAAATCAGACTCATTAAATCCATACGGGACATTCCATCCGATAGACCCGAACGTTTCCCGCTCTTGGATGACCGCGTGGAAAAATGAAACGCTGTACAGGAGCTTCGTGAAAGGACCGTCTTTACCAGGGCAGCTTTCAAAGAAATCAGGATCCTTGATTGGGTCTGAAAGATAATTGCTCAGAAGATTTTGCTGGAGACGAATAGGAGCTTCTACAACCATTTTGACACCGGTATGCAGAATGTGTGTTGGAAACTGGAACAACATTGTCAAAGAATCACAAAATGAACTGCTTAATGAATGCTACAGCTTAATGAATGTTTGGATTCGGAAGGCGGTTGGAGGTATATTCATTGTTGATTGAGAGATTGCATTTTACATCACTTATTAGTTAATTAGAAGAAGAATTATATATTGCCGGTGATGCAGAAAAGGTGGAAAAAGTTTTACCCTTATTCCATAATGGCAATGATCATTTCGCGCCTAAGCGCATCATCAGAGTGTAGATACCGTATGCGATATGATTACGATACCTACGCTGATACGCCTGATGATGCGTTTAGGCATGAAATGATCATTGGCTTTAAGGAATAAAGGTAAAACTTTTTCCACCTTTTCTGCATCACTGGCAATAAATATAATTTTTCTTCTAATTATATTCATTGGTTTTAAGGGCTGTTCAAGTAATACATACAGAATTTTGGCCGGCTTTTTGACCCCACTCCCCCTGTGAGGCACCTGGAAGACTCTTTTCTTCACTCCTTTCTCACCCCTTTTTTCCTCACTCCTCAAGACTGGTTTCATCTACTCTTTCGCCAAATTTTTCGGAAAATCATTAAGGAAGCCCGAACAACTGATAAAAAAATTTACTTTTAATTACATTGATTTCATTTTTTTTAAGCGGTTGGCTCACTTAAGATGGGGCTTGACCCCCTTCTTCCTCGAGAGATCTGGTAAGGGAGACTCAAATCCACATCTCTTATCAAACAGAAAAGTAATAATTGTATAACCCCTTAACAAACAACCAATACCGATAAAAAAAAACCCGAATATGTGTAGTGTTTGTTTCAGATTGATTAGTATGAGGTTATTAATAGATCATGTTATGACTTGCTTGAATGAATATCAAAGTGATACAAACTTCCTTGTTGGCTCAAAAAACTGACTTGAATTTGATGCAAAAAATATAGTAAAGAGTCATATTAAAAATTTAGCCGCGACTTCCTCAAAACTGACTTATTGCTCACAAGTTCTGACATCAAAGAACTATGGTAATCCTGAGTGATGAACCAGAGGAAGAATGAGGCACAAATGAGAAGTTCATATACCTGATCACAAGAGGAACTGGTAAGCCACAGTCGAAATGTGGGGGCCGTGTTGGATAAATCAAAATTTTTGCAGACGTTTTCTAATTCTGTAAGCCAAGATGATGCCAAATGACAGTTCTGCAAGCACAGCCAATTTCCCTCTGTTTGTGCCTCTTTTATCAACCGCATTACGACCGACTCCTAGGAAACATTTAAATCATGGAGTGAATTTAAAATTCAAAACTTGAGTTGGTTCAACGGGTTTAAGAAGGCTGGCAAATCCAAAAAGAAGAAATAAACATACTTCTTACCAAACTAAAAGTAATAACGTATTACTTAATGCATGCTTTCATTTTCACATTTTTATGTAAGTTACGCAATTAAAGCTTAATATTGCAATTTGCGTCTTGGAAATTTAAGTTTTCCATCGCGTCTATAATTTTTAAAACTTGGACAATGGAATGTTACGAGTATGAAATGAATATATAAGTTTAAATCGTGATGTTGATTTGTTTTCCCTCTAAAAAATAAAATTGTATGCACTGAATTTTTGAGAATGGAATCAAGATATGAGATTCTGAAATTTAATCACACAAAATTCTTCTGGTGTTGGACATGTAACAAGCTGAGAGCATTCTACGTTGAAGTTTTGTCAATTTTTGAAGCAACCTGTCGTAGCTCCATGTTTCTTTAAAAGCTGGTTTTATTCATTCATTTTCTACATCAGTTATGTTAATTTATGATTTCATTTAAAGATCTTTTCTATTATCTCAGCCTTTTGTGGTTGGACAAATTTAACCAGAGTCAGCTTAACGACATTTTGCACAGCCAAATTTTCTCCCATGTCTGAAAAATCATATGAGAAAACTAGGCAACAAAAAGGCCTTGAAACTTTCAATTGAGCTTCCATAGAGAATAAAAGGTACTCGCCAAAGTTCAAGGCAGAATTTTGCTTTGTATTCTTGTAAAAACATGAAAAATAAAAATAAATTAGGCAACATTCAATGTCGTTAGGCTGATTCTGATCGATACAAAAAAAACTGTATTGAAAAATTAGTTGATACTAATCATAACATACTTGGCCATGACCCAAAGAGAGGGATTGAAATTTGTTGGTAAAATTCATCCGATGTGAGAATTGAATCAAACTTTTCATCGGATCAGTTCCTGGAGACAGGATGAACACAATCGGCGTTAGACAATTTGAATCAGCAAAAGATGCGTTGATATCAAAGGGTGGTGAAGAAGTGAATTTTGAAGACAGTTCTGATTCAATCAACTTCACAATACATGGAATCAACTTTTCAGGCTGCAACATTTTCAGTACGATCAACTGTTGAAACGATGTTAAGGATGCGCTCCATGGTGCTGGCAATTGAGGGAACTGTTCCTCCGAATTGAAACACTCATGCCAGACGGTGAGATTTTCTAGGAAACTTTGCTTGAACCCCTGAAAAGCACTTAATGTGTCAATACAGCATAATTGACTCCAACTTGAAGCTGGTAGCCAGGATATTGGGTTCTCTAAGTCCGTTTGAAACTTACTACGGACTAAAAATTTCATTTCTCTCACATCCAATCTTTCGTACTTCATCATGATGCTTGAACAAAGAATGAAAGAGAATAGTAATTTATGTCTGTCGAATAAAGAGCGACAAACGTTGACATACAGTGTCAAGGTAAAGGTCTGTTTGAGATTATGTACTCGTTTGACAGTGACAGTCGATTTTTTCGCTGACTCAATGGATTGGATGAATTTATTGATGAACCAATCGAGAGAAAATTGGTACATAGGATCGATGTTTGGCAAATCACTGATACAATAGTATAGAACAGCGCAATGCGCTGCGACTGACTGATAACTCATATGGAAACTCTGTACCACTTTCCTGTCGGCTTTTGCCGCTTCTTGCTTCTTAATGATTTTTGCTGCGACAAGTTTAGATTCGTCTAATGTTGCAGCTGCCCCCTCATCTTCTAAAATATTCCCTGTGCATTCTGACAAAGCTCTCAAAATACTATCCTCTACTGCTAACAAAGCCTTCCTATTTTCGGCATGTTCTAAAGTTAGCTCGGTATTCTTATCAGCCAAATCAGGTCTCTCTTTCGCAATAACAATGCTGGAGAGCTTGTCCTCCAAACCACTCACGCTGAGAGCAAAATTAAGAACAGTTACGATGTTGTACACCTCAGGGGCTAAATGAGGGTTTCGTAAACTTGAGGTGAGGTACAATTTAAATGCTGGATGGTATTCAATAATTTCGTCTCCGAGGGCGATATATTTTTGTGAGTTCCTTCTTGATTCTTGAGTAAATGTTTGTTTCAGTAGAATCGGATCAAGTAACGGATCAAGCTCCTCTAAAACATTTTCAATTAAAACCGGCCGCCCCGTTTCCATACAGACTTTGATTTTTTTAATGTAGTGCGCTTCATCTGCCTTTATTACTTCTAAGCTATTGGGTTTTTCCATAACTTTAATCCACTTATTTGCTTGTCTTTGCGGATCAAGCATTAGTGCCCATCTCTTGGAGCAATCTTGAATGATAGCATTTTCTATTGAGAAAGAGTCATGAGGCAAACGACAAATATTCCATTGCTGAATTTTGACCTCAGAGCCTAGAACCGTGACGATATCGTAGTTCTCGGAGCAGGGGATTTTCAAGCTTGTCAAATAGCGCTTCCAAAGTTCAATTTGCGGCTGGCGGAAGTCTGCAGTGTAGGGGGATAGGTAAGAGATAATTCCGCATGATAGTAAAATGTCCCCTGGAATACAGTCGTAACGATGCTGCAAGTCCTTCGCTTTCTGAGTCCATCGAGCTCTTTCCCCTCCAAGGCTACTGATCAAATTTTCAGCTTTCTTTAACTTTCCTGCGCACAAGTTGACCTCCTCTTCAAGTGCCCTTTTCTTGACTTGAACTTGCTCCAGCTGTTCTTTTAAAATCTCTAACTTTTCTTCAAGTTCTACAACTTGATTCCGCTTTTCGATCAGAATTGCCATCGTAGCTTCAAATTTCTTTTGCGCCAAATCGAATTTAGCTTTTTTTGGAGCTACTTCTTTGGCAACAGCATCGTACATATCCATGGCAATAATCCACTTACAGAGACCCTCCGCAGCGCTGGAGGCTTTTGCTACAATCTGTGGTTTAAAGTCTTTGTGGGGCAGGTACTGCTTGCGTATAGTCGCCATGATGGCAGGAGGGATATTGTCTTTATCATACTCCTTTAAACTCTGCAAGAAACTCATATCACCCAGGAGCCGTTTGCTCGGCCCCCAGTAATCGATCATTTTGGACCCTGGTTTGTTCGGATCTGGGATTTTCTCTGGTTTGATGTCCTTCATGACACAAACTGCAGCCATGACTAGTTTAATTGCGTCGGGTGGATTTTTCATGGACTTAACAAGGGTGATGTCTGTGGGTTTCAGGGTGTTCAGAGCACTGATAGCCTCTTCAAGGATTGGAATTGCGAGAGCTAGGTCTGTTTCACACTCTTCTTTTAGCTGATTTGCTGATTTTGCCTGCTGGTTGACGATTTTTTCATCTTCGCGCACTTGAGCTGAAGTTTCTTCCACCTAAAACAAAAAGGTTTAATTTTTTAATTTGTCTTGGGAAATTATTTACAGCTGTGTGATTATTTTGCGCTTTATACTGTGCAATTAATGAACATACGTTCGTTTCTCAGAATCATGATTTTGGAGGGGAAAATGTTCATGAAAGTGACTTGCTGCAATATCAGATGTTATGCTTAGTCATGCGCTAATATTTTGACTGACGCTTGTTGACACTGAGTTTGACAAAATTACTTTCAAAATACTTTACAAAATGAGGTGTTTATTCATTCAATAGGAGTACAGACATGAGTGATGTCTTTAAATTGGACACATGTATGTTAAAAAGAACAACTATGCAAAAACGCATTAAATCAAAAGGGACCATTACTGAGCATAGACTTAATGTGCTACAAAATTCCTTTCAATTTTATTCATTTCCACGTTCTTCCTTTTAGCATAATAGAACCATCAAATTTAACATAAATTGACTGGAGAAAAAAAAGGCAAGCTAACTTTCAGGGGTATGAAAATCTTGTCAAATGTTATTTTTTTGGGGCAGATGTGATCAACATTACCCAAATCCATATGTGATGATTTTCTCTATTCCTTTATTTCTTTCTTTTTGTTTTTATCTTTTTGTAGACTGTTCAAAGAAAACTTTTCGACACTTATTGGTCAGGTTTTTATTACTCATGAAAGTATGACCATTATTCTGACTCACAATTCATTATTGTAAATGTCCCCACACATGGGCTTACAAAAACAGTAATTAACAAACTTAATCATAAAATCGTCTTACTTGTTTGGTTTCTCTCTCAATAACTTTCATCATTCCTTCTGTCTGTTCAGCTGCAGCTTTTAATTGAGGCTGCAGTGAGTTTAAGTCTTTTTGCATCACAGTAACCTAATGGGATGAGTTTAAATTAATACCAGGTAAAAATGATAAAAACAGCAAATTGGTAGAGATTTTCAGAATGCTGTTCTAAAAAGCCAATAAAGCACAATTGAAAATTTTTACACAGCAAATCCTTGGAATTCACCCTAATGATGCACATTAATTAAAAAAAGAAAAGTAGTTAATGTAATGAAGAGCTCGTTTTGATTTAATCTTTGTTTTCTACCATTCAATATCTCCAAATGATGTAGAAAATCTAAGGTTGGCCACTTCAGAGATTCAGAATCAGAATAAGTAGTGCTTCACATGCAATGACTACGCCTTTCATCTTTTCTTTGCTCCTCTTAATTTCATACTTAGTCAAGAAACATGTCTTGTTATATAGAATTCTCATCAACCATGAGTTAATAAACCTGAATCATATACTTAAAAATATTTTACTTTTGATTCTTTTCTACACTTTGTACTTTACGTTACCTATTGTTGTATTTTCCGAAAAATTGTTTCTGTAGATACTGTAAATAAAAATAAATTGATGAAAAAAGGCTGAGGTTGTCATCGTTCACATTCAATATTTACAGAAATGCCCTTGAATTTTTGAACTTACTTGTTCGGCTGCAAAATCCAACTTGTCAAGACCACCGACATAACGCATTTTAGCCGCCATTATCTCTTCTTGTTTCTGAGTAGTAAATTGCACATAGGTTTGGATAAGTTCCAAGTACGCTGCAGTCGTAACATACGTTTTTCTACCAGTTGCTTTCAGGTAATCATCAGATATTTTCCTGCAATATCAATTGACATTTAGATATACATTGAGAGGCATGATAGTGATTTAATAATAAACTTTAAGGAAAATGCTAAGGATAAAAGACAAGGTGATCATTAAATTTTATGGAGAAAATACACTGAGACATACTAGAACTTTAAATAAGTTTTCTCAGAATTTCATGATTCTGAATTTCTATAAATTATTTTGAATTTCTACAATTCTGAAATTGCGAATTTCAAATCACTGTAACTCCAATTTGATTTGACATTTTTTGTCTCCAAGCATTTACCAAATTTTTCTCTATGTTCTGGTATGAATAATTCAATTTTGAAATTTTGTGGAGTAAGGTCATTTTTTGGTTTTCACAAGGTTGATGGTTACAAATGGAAATCTATCCCAGGAGGGGAAAGTATCTCACTATTTTCTTGGCTATAAATTATCCTACCAATATGAAAAATGTAAAAGCCATCACACTGATTAGAAAGAAAATTTTCAATGAAACCTAATTTGGTGAAAGAGTCCCATACTCTGTCATTGTGAACCTGGAAAAAAGTAAGTTTTGTAGAGCTTTTAAGTCAGTCTCAGCATCATTATGAGCTGAATCCAAGAATCTTGAGCGTTCCAATCTATTGCATTAACTCATTTTCATGACTTAAAAAGGCTTAACTGAAATTACAGCATTCAAACAGTATTGCGTAGTAGTGCATAGTAGTGCGTAGTAGTGCATAGTAGTGCGTAGTAGTGCATAGTAGTGCGTAGTAGTGCATAGTAGTGCGTAGTAGCGCAGAGGTGAGTGTAATTTTTAAATTTTTTTGCACTTTTGTACCTTGCAACAACATGGAAAAATTTGCACGCTTGAACAGCAGCAGCCTTGACATCATCATTCAAGTTTACAGGGGCCAAATAACGAATAGCAACATTATTCATGGCTTCTTCTGGCCAACCCTGAAAAAAGGGATACACAAAGCTTGCATTGAATGATAGTATGTAATACGCTGGAGTTCAAAGGTTATCGGGCAATTGACACCGCAACATCTCTTTGTCAACTACCTGCCACCATCCCTTTACGGGACGTCCCGATCGCCTCTTCCCATGTGATACCCATTCCAGAACTTGTTTGGGCAACCTCTTCCCTGACATTCTTTGCACATGTCCATACCAGAATAACTGCCTGGATATGACGTCGTGCATGATATAGAGAGGAGTAAATATGTAAACTTTGCACTGTAATGGCAATTCTTTCAACAGATTTTTGACATGACCTCAGCATTGTGTTGTATCCTAAAGTAACAATAATCCACAATAGTTTGACGTAGCTGAATTTGTACATTCAATTGTTGCAAAAAATTGTATGTTGTCATTACAACTAATAGTCCAAACTTAATGACCCAAATAATTACCTCAAAAAAGTAAGTTTTTCCATCGATATGCACTGGAACAACTGGCTGTAAAACACACACAAAAAAAAACAAATTCAGTTTTTTGAGATGTTCAAATGGAAGAAACTGCTACTTTAAATCACATTGTGATAGTTGAAACAACTGACTTCACTTATTTTATGATACTTTTCTTGGTCAAACACTTCAATGGAGTTTTTTAAAAGTCTTGTTCTGTTTGTGATAATGTTTATTTCTTTGAATATTTCTTCCTTCATACTAATCTGGTTGATTTGTGATAGAAAGAAAAATTAAGCCAAAGACCCAAACCAAGATATTTAAAGTTGCAAACCAGGACTTTGTTATCAAAGGTATGCTTGGTAGGCGGTTGAGCTGTTAATTGCTTCCACTCTTAACCTTGTAACCTTCCAATATCTTATGGTATTATTTAATATGTACTTGTAGGAATTTTGCATATTTTTCAACTTTGGAAAAAATCAGACGGAATCGCACTTAAAAGATCTTCTTATCAGGAGATAACGCACTCGCCGCGAAGAGATTAGGCGGTCAGTTAGTTCACCTTAGTTTGTTTACATTTAACGCCACTGAAGTTTTGCATTGCATCCTCTGCATCACTGATTGAACAAGAGAAATCAAGAGTACGAAGCCAAGGGTGTCACTACTGCCGTGGATGACGTCAAAAACCTGACTTTTCAAAGGGCGATATCTCGGTTAATATTGAATGTAGAAAGTTGCGGTTTGGAAAGACCTCATTATTTTTAGCTAATCTACAAGAATCAAGCATCAAAACATGATTCTGTGACCAGCGCAACTGACACATTGCTGCAAATTATGATTTTCAGTATAAGAGTCTCTACTACTTATGGAATATTGAAAACTTACTTCGAACCAATCGATGGTAGAACATTTGATAAGGGATGGAAATATCCGTAGGTAATGTTTGAAAAATGAGCCTGCTGGGCTAAAGCACATGCAAAGATGTAGGTTCTGCTTGCAGCGATTGATGAAAAAGCGTTCAACAGCCAAGGGACTCATGTCTACATTCCTATTTCCTCCTTGAGCTGCCAGTCGAACTTTCTGAAAAAAGAAACGAATAAAAAATGATTAAATGAGAGACTATGATTTACGTGTAAAATAAAACATCCACAGAAAAAGGGACCCGTGTATTGAAAAACTTAAAATTTAAATATTGGCACCTCTGCGAAGAGGAGTCTTCTGCAAATATTTTTGCAAAAAAGGCGCTTAAATATCAAACAATAAAAAACAATTTAAAAAGCAGGTAACAAGGCTAAAATTTCACGAATAAAACCAAAACGTTTCGGCTGAAAACTCAGCTCTGCTCAGTTGGATAAAATAGTAAAAAAATAGGGTACTATTTTTTATTTTTACCATTTTTCTTTTTACTATTTTATCCAACTGAGGAAGGCTGAGTTTTCAGCCGAAACGTTTTGATTTTATTCTTGAAATTTTAGCCTTGTTACCCGCTTTTAAATTGTTTTTTATTATATATCTTGTCAGGAGGTGTGGAGCGTCTATCATATCTAAATATCAAACCCAACCTGCATTATAAAGGTTTGACACTTGCAGCTCAAAAAAATCGAAAATGTCTGGATTTTTTAAATTTTTACATTGTTGCTATTTTTTGACGAAAGTGACTTAATTTACCTTAAAACGAGTTTTTTGAAATTAAAGTTTCTTGAATTACCTGAATGATCTCTAAATGTTGGTCAATGGTGAAAATTCCAGGCACTTCACCTGTACTGAGCAGATAGTGAATATCTTGCAGGAACCAATCCTCTTTGAATTGGCCTTCGGAGAAAATAAATACACATGGCCTGTTGCACACTCCTGCTTCTTCAAGCAATTCTCTCAGACACGCCCGCCATTCATTGAGAGCTGAAAATAAGACATAAATTGATTTGAAACGATTAGAAAAATTCCTTCAGCACATCTAGGTAATGTATTTACTGTTTGCTATTAACCCCAAGCTAAGGCTTAGTTTCTGAAAAAGAAATCAATTTAAAAGTGACTGATGATCTAAACATTAAACTAACCAATATCAAAACTACTTAAAGTGAAGTTACCAAAAAATATTTTAAAAAAATAAAATTTGTTCACAGAGTGATCAAACCACTTACTCTCATGAGCGAAAGCCATGGTAATGGCATCTAATAGCTATCTGGATACATGATTTTTTCGATTACACAAAGTTGGTGAGAATCGCTCTGGCCAGCAAGTTTTAAACACTTTGCATCTTCTTTTTTTTTTTTTTGGGGGGGGGGGGGAAGTTTACAACAAATTGTATGTTGTGTCGGAATGTCTTTACATTTCCAAAAAATGTTAATACTCTTTTTTTGAAATTCAATATTTGTAAAAATTTCAACTGAGGTTTTTGAAGTATGAAATTAGATTTGTTATTAGATACCTTGGACTCAACAATCATTAAAAAATGTTCAGAAGAACCTCCATGTTCTAAGTCGGGACGCTTCTTATAACCTGGTCTTTCTGGGAAGATCCTTTAAGGCGATTCGATGGACGCCATATTTTGTGTCAAAAAGGCATGTGATATATCGCATCCCTTGGTTCCATTTTTTCAGCTACTCGTCATTTTTCTCCAATTTTGAGATTGCAATTCTGTTGTCAGGAGACTAAAGCACTCACTTACCAATTTTAACACAGAAATTCAAAGTACTAAAGGCGTGGTTTTTTTAGAGAGAAAATATCGCATTCGAGTGCAGTTTCGATATCAGTATTGAATGCGATGTTTTCTCTCTAAAAAAAAACCACGCCTTTATTACGTTATTACAGGATCAAAACAACATTGGCCTAGGCTTATGAAGAATTGAAGAAAATAATTTTATAATGCAACTTCAAAATATGAGGAGTAACTCTTACAATAGTTTTTAGTGATTTTAGGCTGAAATACTCTCTGTCGACAAACAGCTCCGGCTAATCTGGTGAGCGATTGTCTGCCTGAGCCGCCCACTCCAACAAGAAGAGCGTTCCCACCAGGTATTGACAGGATTCGACAAATCCGACTCAAGTGCTCAACTGCATACCTAGGGAAAATTCGTAGAATTTAAGATATCTTTAGAGGAANGGGGGGGGGGGGGGGGTTAGGATACCGAAAGATCATCTTAAGAGATAATCTATCAAACTTAGGTTTGATAGAATTGTAATCTAATAAACATTGCTGTAACTAACATGTCTTCTCGCAATTTTTTAAACGTTTTTTTAAAACTGATCTTTTCGCACATTAACACTGAACACACTAATTGCCAAGGTTTGCCTTATAATTTGCGGCGAGTTGAGAAGCGCAAAAAACTTGCAAGTATCAGAGTTGTCACAGAATTAAGAAAATGAATTTCCGTGACACATTTTGGTAAAATTCCCTGACAATTGAGATTATGCCAGATGGTTACAAAGACATAAGTTGAAATAGTTTTCAGGCAAAATTTGTTATTCAAAATGGCAAGAGAACGATGCTCATTTTATTTTGGCATTACAGAGAGCGATTAAAGGCGACTTAATAATTTTTCCCTTACACTTTTATCATTTTCCCAGACTTTTTAAAATTCCCTGACATTTCTCGGTTTTCCCGGTAATCCCTGACTGTGGCAATCCTGAAGTACGACAGATGTCACTCTGAGGCAGAGATAGCAGCATCTCTTGGACGCGGGTGTAACATAAGGTTCAGATATACAATTATAAAGTGCTCTCTCCTCTCAACAGAAATGATTTAAGAATGGTTTCCATAGGTACCAGTCCCGAAAGCGTAGCAGTTAACATGTTGAGTTGATTCGATACTTGAGGAAATGAAAACATTTTAGTAACTCACTTGAAGAGAACGATGCTCATTTTATTTTGGTGGGTTGCATTGTAATCTTCAATAACTTGCATGGCAGCATCATAAAAATGATCGACTGAGGGTACTTCTTCATACTTCCGATCGTCAGGACTTTGATCCAAAATCACACTGAATATCAGTTCTGCGAACGCTTCTTTATTCATCTGTAAAATAGGTGAGTCACTAATAACACAAAATATTTGCTTGACTGGAAATATTAGCTTGAATGACAAAGCCCAAAATACAGAAATTCACAGGAATAAGTTGCCCCTTAGACTGCAGTTAATTGTAAACTTACATTCTACGATTTTAAAATTTAAGTGCATACAGAAATCTTTCCAGGATAGATTTCAAGTGAAAATAAACTCATCAAGTTAGAATAGGAGCCAGAAAGGAAAATTAATAATATTAAACTATATTCACCTGCTGTTCTGTATTATAAAGGCCCTCAAACATTTCACCAATGTCCTCTTTAAAAATTCCAGATACACATTCCATCATCTTATCATAAAAAACTTGTCGATCGTCCTCCTCAACGAGACGGTCATAGAAAACACGAAGGGCTTCATGAGCCCACAATCTGAAAATACCAAAAAAGAGAATTCAAAATTTCAAATAATTTTGCTAACAAAGGCACTGAAATTAGACTTAAGACTCTGTGCACGACAGAAATTCCATTTAGTTCTCCTAAAAAATTATCATCCCCCAGAAAAAATATTTGTTCTTTGGAAGAAAAAATCAACACTGCACCTATTCAGAGAGTTCAACATCTGCGTGTCAAATTACGCTATGAAAATAGACATGCGAAAACTAAATAAAATTTTCTGCAATTTTTTTATATTGAAACGCCCAAAAATGGGGAACATTTTTCAACAGCTTCCTGTTATTCGAAAGATTAAGTAATTGTACATTTTATTGGCCCATATTAGACACTGCTGCGTGTCTTTTCAAAAAAGAAATTTGGCAATAAGTAATGAGTATATTCTGCTCTGCTGTGCTCTTCAAGCTTTATGACTGTTGATGATCATGAAACCTCTTGGGTCAACAACTTACCGAACAAGGACTCTTTTGCTGTCAACTGATTCCCTTCTGCAAAGAATACAACCGTAAACAACTCTGGCAAAATCACTAAGACTAAACATGTAGTGGGACTTGGTTGGTGTTGGTAGAAGATACTTCATTGAGAATTTGTACATTTCTAGGGTAGAGCTGATGATAGAGACTGCGACAGGATAAAGCTCAGTGGAGAAACCGTTACGCTGAAAATAAAATGTAATGAGGTTACACCGAGCTAAGAGATGACATAAATTAGAAAGCGGAAAAAGAACGTCTTGCATTCACAGAATAGTGGAAAGAAAATATTCTTTAACTGACATCATGGTCTATGATTTCAAGAAAACTTTACAAAAGACGGGTATCAAACCGTTTTGGGCCCACTTATGGCTCAATCTAGATTTGGTTGAATACGATTTTTTGCTCATTGAAGGTCCATATTTTCCAGAATGCATTATGATTCGGTTATTCTAGGTCTCTTTTTGCGTCTTTCACTGGCTTAAACATAGATCTGAGGGCCGATTTTGGCAAAAAATGCAGGTTTTTCTTTATCGGACTGCAAATCTACAACGGCCACACTTTCCGCCAAAATCGGCCTTTAGACCCATGGCCAGTATTGGGCCCAAAAGGAGACTAGAAAGGACCAAATTATGATGTATTCCGTAAAATATAGATCTTCAATGAGCAAAAAATTGTAGAGTTGAGGAAATCCAGATTGGGCCCAAAAACGGCTCTTTCAATACCCCTCCTTTAAAATATTTTATTTCCAGACTAAAACTTCACACAAGAATAAGGAATAGAGGATGGCACAATAATTTGTTAGACGATTATTTCCAAGTATGTTGTTGGATTAAACAGTAAGCAATGAGTGAAATTTAAAGCACTTTAAATTTATGATGAGAATAGTTGAATTTGAATTTAATTGGTAGGTACTTACTCTGAATCCTGCCATTATTAATGTTGAAAAAATTCTTGTGATGATTTCATCGGAGAAAGAGTTGATTTTAAAACAATTGAACTGATGAAGAAACCGCAGGCTGACGCTATAATTTTCACTACTCACTGAGCCCATACTAGCGATGAATACTAAATTATGGAAGTCCATCTCTGATTTTGTCTTTAAGTTGTATCTAAAAATAATAAGAGAAAAATATTATTTTACGAGGGAAAAAGGTAAAGAAAGAGCTCTTTCAAAATGGACACATATTTTGCTTGATTATTTTGTCATTGGTTTGAATTAAGCTAGGAGCAGAGGGGACCAAAAAGACTGCAACCGCTGTAAAGAAATTTCAGACTGATAACCAAAAAAGCAGAAACTATCGTACATCAAGTAAACTGAAAAGATAATCAAATCGGTTGCAAAAACTGTCCGAAGAATCAAGTAACATTTAAAAATAAAAAAATTAACAATTAAGAAGGTTGAAACCTTTAAGAGGACCAGGAAAATTTTGATGCAACTTTCCGCACACAAATTGTAAAATCCTGGTTACTGGCCCAGATATAAAATAGAAATAAAACTCTTCATATTAGATCAATGTAGGGACATAATTCTGCCAAACAGAACTATAGACGAGTGGAAAAGATATGGTGTGCTCTAGAAAGCTGCATAAGAAACAATGATGAAGTGGGTGTGATTCCTTTGAGAGAAATGGAAAAACAGGATTTTACATTCTGTCGAACGGAACTATGTGCCAACTGAATCCGGCACTCATGAGCCTTGGACATGTAAGAAGAGCGTTGGGGACAGGGCTCATGAGTTAAAGACACCTGGGCGGAGCCGCGGCGGCGGATCCGTCTGGCGCTAATACTGGCACTTTATAGTGCCCATTCATTCTTGCAGCACTATCGAGCACACCCCTTCTTTCCTACCGGTGTCTAGTTCTGTTGGGTAGAAATACGTCCAAATGTACTGAATTGAACCATAAGCATTAGAATTCTAAATCGGCTAATGATCTTCACGTTATGCCATGGCAAATACCATTGACTGATATTCTATTTTCACAAAATAATAATATTTTAGTGTACTACAATCTTAGGAGGATAGCAAAAAGTGAGCAAGTATTCAACTCAACTGAGAGAACTACGGAATTCACGACTTACACAAAGTTATAGTCCAGAAGAAATTTCAGTAACTCTATTGCAGGTTTCGTTCCATATTGATCTGAGAGAGGCATGTGAACATCATCGATAAAAAGAACACCTCTCTTGCCACTAGGAGGTCCAAATGTTTTGTGCTTGTACCTTAATAGTTTCGAGATTATCATATCCTGTGGTAAAACAGAAATACAGAAAAAATATGAACTTTAGAAAGTACATAATATGAACATCACATTTTCAATAACTGTACGCCCATCGATTCGAGAGGGAATCAAAAATACCATTTTGTTCTGCAAAATTCTTACTTTTTGAGAAATCCTTGAATACCTGAGATCCTGAAAAGAGTCTCGCTGAATTTTTTGCAAAAATCTCTTTCACAATGCCCATCGAACTAATTGGATTGCATTTTGCAATTTGGAACTGTAGGTTCTGCCTCATCTGAAAAAACACGTATGTGCATAGGAAAACTAATGGCACATACGTTGTTTTTAAGCCAGACCAGAATTTATAGTTCTTCGGCGTTTTCACGCCACATTCACCACAAAGGAATTTTCACTTTTGTAAAATTGAACTACCTGGATATATTTTGGTGTCGATAGAGAGGAGAGGGTGATCACACCGGGGACAAACTTTTCCATGGACAGATGACTGGTTAGAAGATTCTGAATGTAAAATGATTTGCCAGTGCCAGTTGGACCAAACAACAAAGCTGGAACTCCGTGGCGAATGTGCATATCTAGTACATAGTTGTACCTGTTAAATATGTAAAAAAGATCAATAGATAAAAAAAATATTAGTCCTCTTATAGTAATCAAGGCACTTTTTAGGAATTTAAAGTTTGATTTAGAAAAAATAATTACAGATAGAAATGTTTTTAAAAATAGTGTGTACAGTTGAGGCTTTGGGGGCATTTCTTAGTTGCAGTGTTCCAGAGTCTCCAGTGCTAATTTTTATTTTAGAGAGGAAGCTATTGGGTGAATTTCCTGAAATTTCACGTTTTCAGCATTGCAAAATCATGAAGAATATTCCGTAAAAGTTACAACAAATTGTATACATTAGCTTTAAATAATGGATGGAACATTAGCGGAGATTTTGAGACACTGCAATCAAGAAATGCCCTTCTGCACCCAACTCTTCAGTTATGAGGTTGTAGATTCATTTTTTTAAAAAAAGTAAAAATTTATTTTTGAAAAAACAGCATGGACAACATGTTTGAAATACACTCCTCCTTCCAGTAGTTATTTGTAAAGCCAGTTGCAAATATAAACATTAGGTAATTTATATATTTACGCTTTTGTGTGGCAAAATGTATGACTGCCAACAAAAAATGTATACGTACATAATCTAATTCATCAATGTAGACATACACAATTTTCAGACGACCACTTTTCAACTAGGGAGACTGACTAAAAGTTTGGGATTACATCTGTTCCAAATGCGACCTTTGATTGGTCAAAATATGTTAAATTTAACCTGTTCCAACCCAATTTTTGTTGCCACTATTGATGAAAAAAATCGGGAAAAACAGGTAAAAATTAAAATATTCTAACAATGATCCTATATCAAGCCAAACCCTACTTGAGTTATTCTTCTGAGGCCTGAGCTCCCAAAATTGCTGTCAAGAAAATTTTCATGAATAATACCTGGCTGCATCGACGGTTGGTACCAAGACTTGTTGAATATTGCTGGATTCGTCAATTTTGAAATTTCGTACAAACTCGGGCCAATATTTCCAAGATCCTTTTGCTTTGAACTGATAATAGTAGTCAAATAGTGACCCGTCAACAGGAATTACAATTTCAATTTTCTCTAGTTCCTCAGTCGCTGGCATCAAATTATTTTCATCATCTCCTGCAAAGTGAGAAATTTTGTTTGGAAAAAATTAAAAAATTCAAAAGAAACATGAGGAATTCTAATTGCAGACTCTATTGAAAAACTGCTCTTGGTAAAGAAAAACTTTGAATAATAATGATCTTTTTCATAGGCATGATGAATAATTGTTTTTGGCACCACTGCTTTGTTCTTCAGTTCGATTTATGATTCAAAGCAGCTGAATAAAAGAACCGTTAGATATACACCTAGCTTTACCTCAATTTTGCTCTCAAAGGGACTGGATACATCAACAAATCAATTGCACAAATAATTGACAAATGTACAAAAGCGATGCATAATATTTTGATCAGTTTAAAAATAACCTCTAACAAAAAAAAAGAACATGATTCCAAATAATTTGTGGTTAAGGAAAATTTGGTGAGGCGGGAAATACATGCATTTGGGAGATAAATTCTATTCAAATGCTGATCCTCAGATTGCAGACACATAAAAACCATGTGAATGTTTAAAGTTTGCCCCCGCTTTTTAGCAACACTTGTTCTTTTTAACTTTTTCATTTTGAAAATTTAACACCGAAATTTAGGTTTACCATTGAACCCCCCCCCCCCTTCCATCAAAAAACCCCTCTCTATTGAATGAGCAAAACCTTGTTAATTTGAAAGTAAACTTCAAAAGTTGATGGAACTTGCGTCAGATGAACTGGCAGTTGTTGACTGACTGTCATATGCAGTAGACGGTTTCAGGTATTTGTGCAAGATGGCAGCATTGCCAGCCGTTGATCCCTTGGTTTCTACTGGATGACAGCACTCAGCAGTCCAGTCGCTTGCGAACAGAAATGAAGTAAGTGCCCATTTATCTGACACAAGTTCTCTAAAAATGTTTTTTTTTAAAGCTAAAGAACAAACCTCTCCACAAATTTTTGTAAAACTCATCAAAAATGAGGCGAGAATCACTGTTTAAAGTTCCTCCAAACGACCAGTGACCAGCATATAAAAATACTGCTTGAATCCAAATTAAGAAATGAGTAAAATTCTGATCATTTTCATCCAATGCATCAGACAGTAACATTTTGACAAATTGAGTAAGACTTCTAGAATGAAAAAGATAAAAAAATCATGCATGTCATGTGTCCATTCTAGAATAGTTTGCTGATGTCAGTCCCAAAAAATATAAAAAAAATGGCGATTTTCATTTAAAAATTGTTCATACTAGATGAGGCAAATATTGACATTTAAATTATACAAAATTTATCATTTCCAAGATTTTGTTTTTAATTTCTAATGGTCAAAAATTCAAAATTGACCCTCAGTGGTAAATCAAAAAATTAAATTAATGGAACCAGCATTTTTCGGTGGCAATGAATGTCATCAATTCCCTGCTATGCCTAATAAAATCCTGTGTTTATTAATTATTAGAGTACAATTTTCTTTGTTTTAGTGTCTATGATTGAAGATTTAGTACACTCAAATGTTTTAAAAAGAAGGCAGGATGGGTAACTTACTTGACAATCTTATTATTTGTCACCCGCAACACTTTGGTGCAGCTAGTCTCCACAAAACTGAGACACGGGGGAATAAGCCAGTTAAACATCGTGACAAATACAGCCCGGAAGTTTATCCACTCTTTGGGAAGACACGCCATCCAGCTATCTACCACATGCTGCCAACTGAGTGCCGTTGGATCAACGTAGATGACGTTACACCGTGCGATGGTGCCTGGGGAAGCCTGAGAGTAGGAGTTCAAACAACGAAATTGTGAGATATAACTTTAAAAAGAATGATTTTATGACCAAGATTTTCAATCCTATGAATGCGTTAAAACCAGCAAAGTAGATGTATCGGGTTCAGTAGAGAGAAGTCGGGACAAATTAAGTCTAATTAAAGAGAGCAATATTCCAATATTTGAAGTTTTAATTATTCTGCAGCCTTGATACTAAAGGAAGAATTGGATTCTTATTTTCATTTTCAAAATATTTTCCCCCAACATCAAATTTCTGACAGAAACTAAGAAAATTATCAAAATCTACACTGCAGCGTTTCAAAATCTATATTCTTATTTTAATTTTTATGGAAGAAAACCAACTGCCATTTGCGCCTACATTTTTTGGGGAAAACCCTTCATATGGGCGGGGAAATTTGCAACAATTTTCAAATTGGGATATTGGTAGGTTTCTGTCCAAAAATTAAAATGAGAGATCAGATTTTGAAACACGGCAGTGCAGATGTGATTCTACTGCTTAGCTCTATCCAAATTGTATCTGCAAAAAAGTTTATTAGAATGAATTTCAAAGGACATTTTTGATAAATTCATTATGGGACTTTAGTCACCTGTTGAACTCGAAGTAGTTGAGAGTAACTGAAGACCTTAAATCAATAACGGGCTAAGTGTCAAAAAGTCAAATTTCAGTTATTCAACATTTATTTCCCACAGGTTGCCCGGCACATACCATGCAGCGCTACCTATCGGGGCACACTGCACACTACTATCATGGTCGTGGCACTCAGCCCGTTTCATGGGTTGCTGATCTTGGTACATAGAACACTATTCGAGGTCTAAAATTGAAAAAAATTAACCATAAAGCCCTGAAAAATCTACAGACAGCCCAATAATGGCAGGAAAGCTTTAAACTGTGAGTAAACTAAGTGATTTCAAAGTAAAAAAAATAAATTGAAAAAAAGTGAGGAAGGAGTATTTAGTCAGATTCTTCCGCCCCTCTGCCTCAAAACCACGGATAAGATCGATGAAAAGGCATACCTCTTTTAAAGTTGTTGTTTCAAATAAGAACGACATGGAGTCACTCATTCTGATATTCTCACCAGAAGATAAACTCAAGGTTTCAGTGGGATCTAATACGGATTTAATGTTTTCCACCCAGATGGGGTCAACTGGACCATCGAAAATGATCCACTTTCTTTTTGCATCACTCTCATCTGCAGCGTACTTCCTGCAAACATTTCATGCAAACATATAGTTTAGTTTGGTGTTCACTCTTTTTACTGCGACAATATTGAACATCAAACTACAAAATTGCAATTCTTAATTTGCTACTTTGTAGATTCCTTGGTTGTAAAACCTTACTTGTCCCAAGAAGCAGTGATCGCGATAAATAGCGATTTTTATCTGTTGATTATTGTGATTATATTGGTGGCAATTTATTGCAATATTATCGCATAAAAAATTGCGATTTATGGCAATTAAATCGCTAAACATTGCAATTTATTGTTCAATAAAATCGCAATCAATTTTCGTCGATAACATCAAGATTAAATCGCCATTTATCGCAATTTTTGTTGCGATAAATTGCCAGGCAATAAAATCGCGATTTTATTGCAACAAGATTGAGAATAATCGCTCAGATGTTGATGATGGTAGCGATTTTATCGCCGAAAAAATCGCAACGAATCGCGATTTTTCCGTTGAAAAATGCTACTTGGGCTGTGGAGATCGACTAAGGATTGTTATTGCACAAAATGTAATGTGATTCTCTTTTGTCCTTCCAAGAATATTCTCTGAAGATTTCAAGCAAAAATGTCTGAGATATGTCAAAATACCTAAATATGGATGAGAATATTCCATCGACCCAAACGTTTTTTTTGCGATTAAATTCACCATACAGAGATTCAATTGTGACGGACTTTGGATTAATAAAGCTGTAATCGATTTGGGTTGTTTGATGCAAGACTTCAATTAGAACCTGAAATAGAAACAAATAAAAAAAAACCCGAATATTAATATCTTATTGATGTAACGAATAACAACACCTGGCTATTTTTTAGGCAATTTGATGTCATTTAATTTGACAAAGAGGTAGCATCTTTTCTGGTTTGTTTAAGAAACAAAATACGTGACTGCTATTGATTTCCTTTTGGAGGTAGTTGCTCTTATAAATATCCGTACTAAGCCTTGATTGAGGAGAGCTTGGTGTGGCCTGATTTTTTTGCCCACACCAAACTCTCCTCAACAGAGACATTCGACAGTAAAGCAACGCTTTATCAAAAAATCTTGAAAAGAGTTAAAAAATATTGGTAAAATCCTCTCCTTTCCTCCAAAAAAGATTAATCAGATAAGAAAAACCTTTGAAAACTTTGAAGCAATTAACTAAGAGAATTTTCTTAAATTTTAAAATCCTTTAGTAACAAATGAATTATTTTCTGAATATTATGAAAAAATACACGCATAGAATTTTTCTTGGCACAAAAAGCATAGGTAATGGCTAGATGGTTAACACCATAATTTTCACTTTCGAGAACAATGGATAAAAAAGAAAAATTCTTACTTGAAGGATCGTAGTTTTCCCACAGAATGATTCTCCAACAAGTAAAACACCAGGAGTAATATTCAGCATATCCATTATTTCTTTCATTTTAGATATCAAACATTTGTGTGCTTGTAAATTCTTCTTCTTGCATACCTGAGGACAGGAAACTTCCTTCAGTTTAAAGTTCATAATTTACGCTAAGACCCATTCCTCCCCCTCCCCCCCAAAAAAAGAAGTTAAAGGGCAAAAAAACAATTGTTAAGTGTTAGCAAATTCAAAAGCACTCATCTCACCGGTATTGGCATGATTTCGTCGCTTGGTTGACAAGTGGGCGCAACTTTACTAAAAGATGAGCCTAGAAAAGTATTCAGTTACATGGACTACAAGGCTCATCGCAAAGTGTAGTTACGTCTTTAAATCAGGAAGGCGATGATTTAAAGAGTCCATCGGAAAACAGTATTATGATTTCAGAGTTTAATAGAATTCAACAGAGCAGGTATTCAAAAATTTGGCTATGCCTTCAATGTTTCCTGAAAAGCAAATTCAAGGGTTTCCATAATTTCTTAATTTTATTATTCCCTGACTTTCTTTGACCTTTAAACAAAACTTCCGCTTCGATTTTTTCTCTCTTAGGTTACGCTGAATTTTGTTTAACTTTGAACAAAATCTCCACTTTTAGAGATTCAAATTAAGGAACAATGGATTCAAAGGTTGTTTCCTTTGTTCTCTTAAATAGCATCCACCGGCTGAAGTTGCTGAGCCCTGGTGTTACTTCCCTGAAAATTGATGAAATTTCCCTGACTTTTCTTATGCGTTCTTTAATTTGCCCTTATGTTTCCAGGTTGTCATTTTCCTAACTTTCCAGGTTTTTCGGACTGTTGGCAACCCTGAGACTCAAAAATCTGAGACATGCATGAAAATGGTATTTTCAGAACAGACCTTGCTAGCATGTTTCATGCCAATTCAAGTGCACCGCAATACATTGGTTCACCCTGATAATCAGGTAACTACAAATCTCTTTTTCCCCCCTTTTTTTAAGACAACTTTTATTTAAAAATGTTGTAATACTAAAAGAACTTGCACTACTAGAAGAAGCCTTGTATCTATCTATACATTATTGTCTAAAAAACGGGAATTTTGGAATTTTCTATCTTTGGTTTTAAGAAATTAGTAGTTACAAATCATGAGATGAAGTGGGCGGCGGAGGGGGGGGGGCAAGGAGGAATTTTTATCGCTGAATCAATGAAAAAAAACCATACCTCAATGACAGACTCCTCAAAAATATTATGCTCTTCCATGGACCGAGTGTGTTCTGGAAATACACTTTGAAGAACTTCATGAAATAAATCAACATCTGAGGAATGCAACTTTGGAATATTGATTTCAGCAACTGATCGAGCCAAAATGAGACTTTCTTTCTCAACGGGGTGTTCAATTTTTAAGTCTCTTGCATGCATTAGGTTGAATCGGATAGCTCCTAAACCTGAAGACAAAAGAAGATAAATTAATAAGATAAGATGTCAATTTGCTAGAGAGTCATGGTAGATAGATCTTTATTTTCCATTTCATGAAAAAACAACTGAGAATTTTAAAAACACTGAAACAGAATAGGATACACTGTTTTAAACCCAAGGAATCAGCTGGGAATATTTTCAAACCCTAAATCTACAATTTGTGAGTTATAGCCAATTTTTTCACTATTTTCAGTCTTTTAGGACACTTTCTACTAGGCGTAAAGGAACTTCTTAGTCACGCAACCATGATTGTAGGGCTGCTTGCATAAAAATTGGGAGGACCAACTCACAATAGAAATTCAAAACATCCTGCTTCATTAATAGCCATGAAATTTTTGTGTTTTTTATAGAATTGCGGTAAAATTTGAGTCTTTGTTTTTCTCAAAATTGTGACGATTAGTGAATAAAAGATGAAAATAGGATGATGGCTTGGAAAATGTTGAGAAAAACAGAGTTTTTAAGACGGGAGGAGGACTTCGAATCACAGGAAGGTTAGGAACTTTTTGTGCCCCTGCTTCCTATTTCCATTGTGTAGGACAACAAAATCTATAGGCAATATATGAGGCTATTTCTGAAGAATATGTTTCTACAAACTAATTACAACTTTAAAAAAACTCTGAGTTGAATTAATTTCAAACTGAGTGATTTGTTTAAAATCAACTTTACCAAAATTATAGTGAGATTGTCGGGATAGAAGGGTGTGAAATCGTTCATAGGCAATCACTAACTTTGACGATAAATTCTTGACATCAATAAAACCAAAACATTGGAGCATAACTTCAGCCACAAGGTGAACATCAGGTTTAATCATGGCAATGTTGCGGAATAGAGCCTGAAAATGAAAAAATCAATTCGATATTAAAATTTTAAAGTGAAGAGTTTGGATAATGTGTTGTCTTTGCCGTCTTGCGCAAAACAATGACCACTTGGACAGTGAGATCTTCTAATATTCGCGCAAAATTTCAAGCCAGTTCACGTGCTAAAAACAAAAAGTGGAGGTACATCTCACATTTATCCATTTAACATTCTGCGTTTAAGACTCAAGATAATTAAAAATAAATTATGCATGTTTTCTACTTAACAGATGCTCACATAACACAGTAAAAGCTTAGAATGCAAAAGTCTAAAAATTAGGAAACAGCAGCAATGTAAAAAAACTAAACACGTTGCATCTAGAATTCTTAATTTTTTTTTTAATTCCCTGATATTTGTATATCACTGATTTTTCTTGACAACAGCAGACCTCAATTTATCGGATTTCACGGGACTGCAAATTCGATCCGTTAATTCACACTTGCGGAGATCAGCAAAAATTGAAAAAAATTCGTAGAATTAAGTTTTTTCGCAGAATTCGTTACCTTGCAATCTGATAAAGTGAAGTTTTACTGTATTTTACTTCTGGATTCTCTTAAAAAAAATAATATTCTTCTTCAGAGTTCAGGGGAAAATAAACTTTTTAATCTTTTGTCTGATATTTAAAAGCCAAGTCAACATCAACCACCAATTTAAAAAAAAAAAAAATGATCTCGGAGCGGAAAAAGAAGAAATTCCCAGTTTCTTGTACCAATTCCCTCATAGAATTTGCACAGATATTTTTAATTCCCTGATGAATTGTAGTTCTTCCTACTTTTGCTAGGTCCTCGGCACAGTGGATAATCTTCGTCACTTGAATTAAAAGCAGAAAAACGACTAAAAGCAAACCTTTAAATTGTCAGGTAAGATAGACACTGACTCATACTTCGGGTTCATTACAATGCAAACATAGCAAGAATTGTTCAGTCGAATCTCAGTGCCTTCAAAAATAAAAAGCTCCGCATTATTTTGTATTGCTTGAGAGATGGAAATTAGCTGTTGGGCCACCACGGACAAAACACCAACTTCAATACGGTCAAAGTCATCAAAACAGACCCAAGCACCGGTGAAAGCAAGACCTTTAAAAAACTAAAAGGAATTCATTATTAAAATGGTGGACAATTTTTAAAGGTTTGAATTTAATTTAACGGTAGGTTATTACCAAAACAGGAGCATCTGATCATAGTTCTTACTTTGCCTTCAAATTAAAGAAGTTATCATTGTAAGTGGGTTTGATTTTGAGGAGGCAGAGACTGATAAAGGTTTTTGAAAATGGGGCAGGAAATTGAAACGGACAGTCTCAAAAAACTTAAGGTCCAGCAATAAAAATACAAGATAAACAGTAAGAACTGTATTGATCTACCCTTAATGAACCTTTGTATAGTTAAAAACGTGATCAATTAATTCATGGCTTCGATAATTTAACACTCTGAGTTTTAGAATGGGTTATTATCAACGGATTTCACGGTTTTTCTTGCATTCTCAAATTTGGCCACTTAAGTCTTTTGGAGAGAGACCACCTCAATCAAGCTAAACGCAAGGATGCAACAAAATCATGGCTGTGACAAATTTTAGGCTTCAAATTCGAAAAGCATCTGTTAATTCGTCGTCTTCCGGACGAAGGAACGTAACTCCAATCTAAGGTTGCCAAATTGACTCAAACAATGGATTCATTTTACAATGTTGTACCTGTGCGGTTTTTATCCAAAGTTTTTCAAAATTTTGCGCGAAATCTGAGGAAGAATCAGTAAAATTGTCAGTCAGAAACACCCAAGATTGTCCCGATTAATATACAATTTGCGAGAGGAAATTTGGCAACACCGAAATGTAGTTACGTTTCTTCGTGGGGGAAACAACGAATTTAGCCACCTAAGTCTGATTTTTTTTTTTTTTTTTAACTTTTTATGGAACATTTGGAGGCCAATTTGCGAAAGGAGCAAATGAAGGTCGAATAGTTAGGTTTTTAGGACGAAGAAGCTTTTGGCCATACTCCGATCAAAATCTGGGTGAGACACTACAGAGGGTGTCTACTATAATTTCATTTTGGATTTGAATTTTCCTGCTATTTCAAAGTTTTCTTGATTTTTTTTGCGTGGATAAATTAACACTTGTTGGATTTTACGTACCAATACATTTAATGAATTGAATCAAATGTTTCAATTTTGAATTTTGTAATTGAAAAAGGTTTCACGACTTCAGAATTTTCTGATCTTTGATAGATGTTCCTGATATTTCCTTTGTGATATCAAATTTCTGAAAATTTTCCGCTTTTTCAGGTGTTTACTAATGGATACATCCTGCTACATGGCCTCTCCTTGCGAGTTATCATAAAATGGTTCTAGAAATACATACCAAACTAGAATACAATACCTTGCCAATAACCGAGTAATGCAGAAAATTGGAGCAGTTGAAAGTTGCACACAGGACGGCAAGCATTTCACAGAGATCTTTCACAGTTTCTGTTTTCCCGGTGGCTGTGGGCCCTTCGATACTGCCAAAAAGATGGAGCTGAAAAGCATTGACTAGCGTAACAAAGCACCGTGTTGTCAAAGGAGTTATGACCAGTCGGGAGACTTCTCCAAGATATTCATAACTGTAGGGTAGCAAAGCGCTCATCATTTGAAACTTTACGCTGTCTTTCCAGAGATACCTGGAAAGTGAAAAATTCAATTTTCAAACATTACTCATTTTGCAAAGGCTGCCCTATTAAAAGTTACTGTAGTTGCTTTTGTGTATGTATAAGTAGGCTCTGTAAAAAGCGTTTTGAATTTCACAAGTGCTCAGAATTTCATTTAACCTACATCAATGATGGTTCGAAATGTTGGTTTAGAGCCTGACTGAGTCCAAAAGCTCAACACTGAAGTTCAATATTTTCGAAATGACGACCATCTCAGTTATTTACTGAAAAACAGACAGATCTCAGGCAGCAATATTTTCTAGTTTTAAAATTTCTAGCTTTTTAAGGAAACAATGGAAACCAAGGCAGGATAAGGAAACAATTCCTTTCCATATTATAACATGTAATTGATATGTATATGTGCTTGTACAAAGCTTTGGTTCATCAAAGCAGAAATCTCTGCTTGACACAATATTACCTTGGCTGAGAGAGCCATTTGAAGTTAATTTCAGACATATCTTCTGGAGTGAATGATCGCATCACTTGTAAGCAGTGCGATTGTAAGACCATCAATGCTTCTAATGTGTGTCGTTGCCCAGAGGTTAGGTTGGAGGCGATCAGGTTGATCGATTCATCAAGCTTCGTCTGGGAGAAAAAGGAATGCGTAAAAATTATTAGGATGTTATGAGGATGTCTTCAGTTGAATTTCATGCAACACAATGAAAATGCGCCAGTCAATGAGAATATCTATTCATCATTTTTTTGGTACGCCTTACCTGTGCCGCAGCGATGTGGTTTTGAAGAAAGTGGTAATTTGCTCTTTTCAAACACTTTTGAACCTCTGATGTCCAATTGATATGCCAAATGCAAAGCAGAACTTGACTAGGTCTGTTTTCAATCAGTAAGAAGAGATCAGCCTCGGTTTCATTGATGCTCAAACACTTCCTGATTTCAAAGTCCATGGTCAGCTTCATTTCTTGCTCTACCTGGAGAAAGAAGCCCAAATTTTATGCGAAAGTACAAATAACAAGAAAATAATGAATTTGCAAAAGTAACTTTTGGAATTTTGCATAAAAATTTACGTTCGGTCGTTGATAGTTAATGAAATGTGAAAGCATTCATCAATAATTTTGACCTTTGAGTTTGACAAAAATACAATTCTTCCTCATTTTTTAGTTCTTAAAATTGTAAAGAAACAAAATGAATAATTGAGAAATATAATCTAAGACCTTTTGACTGATTTTTACCAGGTTTCTTTTACCAGTAATTGAGGTTTCTAAACACAGATGATACTTTTAGACTACTTTAAATGGCAACCTCTCGGTTTTTCTCTTGAAAAAATGAGTGCTAGAGATATATTTGGTTTTTATTCTTTGAGAAATTTAATACCTCTGCCAACCATTTCTCTACAGGTGACATTGGAGGAACAGAAATCTTGTTTGAAAACTGGATGGTTTCCCCATGAACACTGCTCATAGATACTATTTCGCTCTCACTGTTGAATCCTAGACTGTTAATGCCGGCAAAGCATTTCAAAAGAAATGGCTGAACTCTGGACGGATTTGCAAATTCAGAAAGAATGTCCATGACTTCTGGGTTAGAGAGAAAGTAAAATCTACAAAACAAAATGGAAGGGAAAACATTAGGATAATGACAGACTGCTTGATTGATACATTTTAAAATGAAGCCATTTATTCTTTTAAAACAATTGAGGCACTGGATGAGAAAAAAAACACTTCTCCATTGCAGTGTTTCAGAATCTCTGTTGCTAATTAATCCCTTGGACAAGAATTTAATGGGTGATTTTAGCAGAATTTTTTCTAAAGAAAATTGTAGAATCATAAGAAATATTCAGTGAAATTTTTAGTAAAATGGATGTATTCACTTTCCTTACAATTTATGAAATATTATAGGAGACTCTGAAACACTGCAACCGAGAAGTGCCCTTTTTGCATCCAGTGCCTCAATTAAATAAGCCTCAGAAAATTTTTCATGAGCTGATTTAACTGGATAAAAACTTTTAATTCATAAAGAAAATTAAGTTTTTTTTGAAGCAGCTAAACTTTACCTTGGAAAGCACAATCGTTTTTTATCAATGAAATCGTGAAGATGTAAACTGACTGTTTCCAACCGATCATAGGATTTTTTTATTGTCCATCTAACATCTCGCTGCCCCACCGTTTTGAGGACTTTTCCCTCCTTCTCGATTGAAGATGTAAGATTGTGTAATGTTTTGTTTACATCCTGAAAAAAAAAGGTTGAAAATCGAGCTGATAGAATTAAGAAGAAATTTAGATTTTTTTGGACTAACAAATGATCTGGCGATAATTAACCTTGACAAAAAAGCTGCTTAAATGTGGAGCTAATTTAACAACAGTTGAGAAGCTGGATTACAGAAAAAACAGGAAGAATGCCTCACAGACTGTGTTGGTACAAAATGCAACAAATCTGAAATTCTTTTGAATATCTGAGAGAACGAATTCACTTGGATAGAAAATTTTAGGGGCATTTTTTTTTTGAAAGGACGGTCTAATAATGTTCTAAATTTTAAGCATATTGTGTCAAGAGATATATCTGCACAAAAAAAATTGATGATCGCATGGATAAAATACTGATATTTTAAAACGTCAACTAATTGTAACTTGAGAGAGACAATACCGCTTAAAAAACCCCAAGTTCCATTGTTTTTTCATCAAAATCTCACAGTCTCCTTGGAAATATCCTGGTTCAATTAGGAAGGTCTTAAAACAATCAAAAAATTTTTTTTATTGGAATCGTTCCTGGCCTATATCGACAAATTTAAGTTAGTGACTTGAAAAATGGGTAACTGAAGAATAGTGTAACAGTAGTAGTTGAAAGATTTGCTGTTTGTTTTTTTCTCACTTAGAATAACAAACAAAAGAATAAGAAAAAAAAATTCCACTCCACCGAGGAATATTAAAATTGCATTTATGCAGTGCAGTTTTACAGACAACATTATGATAAAATGAATAATCTTTGAAGGATGAGACACATTAAAAGCATATAATTATTCCAAAGTGGGAGTAAAAATCAGGTAAAATTGAGGGCAAACTATTTGGAAAATGAATATTTTCAAGCTGATGAACTTACATGGTACAAAGAGTAAATTTTTGGCACTTCTGTTGCAATCGTTTGTGAGTTGAATAAATTTAAAAAGTAAAGCCACCGCTCTTCAAGAAGAGTCCATAGCTCCAGAACTTCTGTCATTTCGGTCAGTGTTTCAAACCACTCTCTGGCATTTTCTGAGGGCCAAAAAAATTAAAGAAGTTATTCACCAAAATAACGACATTCAGCAGTTAAAAGGATCTTTCAAATTGACAAAAAACAACAAAACTGGAAAAAACCTTTAACTTGTTAGATTCCAGAGAGGAATCTGAATGCCATTTTGCAAAAAATCAGAAAAATGCAACAAAACGCGGAAGCAGTGGCGTGCCGTGAATTGCGATGTATCGATTATTATGCCATTTAAACATATGGTAAAAAATTGATTATTAAAGTGTTCGCTGCGAACACCATGTTTATCAATCCTTCACCATAGGTTTAAACGGCATAACAATCGATACATCGCAATTCACACCACGCCACTGCACGGAAGATGTAATTAAAAGTTCTGGTAAAAGTTGTGGCAGTTACATTCTTTTCCCTCCTTTCACGAATCTTGAAGTGCACTATTGTATTTTTCTACTAGCTTTAAAGTTGAAAAAATAATTAATGAATCAAGTTCCAGACAAATTCAGTTGTGCATTACTCTCTCTCTCTCTCTCTGTGGCAGATGCAGATTTCTCCAGTACAGAGTGAAATATGCTAAATAGAGGTGAAAATATATGTATTTTGAGTGGGGTTAGGATCCAATGGATCTATTCAATACAGAGAGTTTCATAATGCAGAGGAAGAGAACTGTAATTAATAGCTGAAACAACTTCCGAACACTTAACTCTGAACGCACACTCTCTGTTCTTCACCACAAGCAGATAGAATTACCTTTGATCGGTTGTATGAATGCAGATCTCCTGATCGACAAAGTCCTGATGATATGGTCGTCAATTAGCGTTTGAATTTCCTCGATGTTAGATAACATAATGATACCGGATGTTCTGCAAAAGTAATCACAAATAAATGAATGGATACATGAACAAAAAATTCAAGTAAGATTTTTAGTAGGATTACTGTTTTAGACTATTCAGTCACTACTGAACTTGGGATGATAAATAAATATTGAACATTAATTCCGAAACTATTGTTGGAATACATGAAAAAAAGGTGTGGTCCTGAGATCAGTCACTGAAAATATACCAGTTTCACTGTTGTGCGTTAACAGGCGATTTTGGACTTTACAAGTACTGTGAAAACAATTGACAGAATCCAAACCCAAGTCTCAAGTCTCCTGAATACGCTTCAGGAGAAAAAGTAAAACAATTTTTCTTTTCGATAAGAAGGGTCAGAAACTCACGGATGCAATTCAGTGGTGAAATGAACATCCATCCACTCATTTTTAACTTCTTCCAATTTCTGTTGCAGCTCAAGTTCCTTGGTTGCACTGATGCTTACAACTTCAAACCTGAAATAAATTATGCGTAGTGATTAAAAGAAAATACAATTAACATTTAAATAGAGTTTAGGGTCTAAGTTATAAGCCGCTGAGGGTTCTGCCTTTAACACCCCCCTCCCTCTATCATGGGGAGGGATTACACTAAAAAGTCCACCTTATTAAAATGTCTCACAAGCTACAGCATCAACTCTGAAATGATGAATTGCATGTGATAAGAGGCTAAATCTAATGGGAGATGGATCAAGCATTTCCTGAGTTTTTTAACTATTTTTAAAAGCCACCTGATGGCTAGGGGACAAATTCGTCCAACTGACAATTTTGGCGAAAATGAGTTGGTAAGGGTGTTGCGTTCTACAATATAACATACGCAAGCTGATTTTTTTAGTTTTTTAACAATTTCGTACTGTAACGTATAAAAAAGCTGCAAACTAAACCTTAAAATTACAAAAATGGAAGTTTTCTCTTTGTCCTGTAAAATAGTCGGTTGCTAGATGAGCGGCATTTAGCCATCTAAAAAAAAAATTTGAAAGTTATTCAGAATTAAGCAAGTTATTTCAAAGAAACCATGCGGTAAATGTTGCCACAATATACGCTCACATTCATTTTTTAGTTTTTCCTTTTTTTAAATTTAACTGTTTCTGAATACACTTACTTTGGCAGGAAGTTTTTTAGGTCTAATTTGGAAACTTTTCTCAAAGTTGTTCCTGCAGAGGGCCGCAGATTCAAACCGATTAGGTTTGACATTTCTGTCCAATGTCGGTCTCTTAAAGCAGGATTACCTAAAATACTGATCACGGGAATGTGTTGCTGAAAAAAAAGCATTGATTCAAATTGTACGGTTAACAACAAATTAAACAGTTTTATCGTCTTTGAGAAAGGAAGCCCTAGCTCTTGGAGGCAAATTTTCAGAAGAGTGGATTTGGTCAAGTTTAGTGGAAAAATTGAAGGGATGATTGAAAAGTTTTCTTGGATATCTTAGAAGAAAATTATAACAAAAAAATCAGTTTGCTTTAATACTGAGAGTGTCATGTAGCATTGAAGTTTGACAAATATCGATGGTGAAATCGCAGAAATGTGTACTACGGTTTGCGGCTTTTAACACTTCCCGTCATACTTCACTCCCAGCATGGGAAATTACTTGATGTCTTGCTTTAAAAACTTCGGTGATTTTTCTTCCCTCCAAGGAGAATATTCTGAGAGAATATCAAGCAATGATGGTGGTTCAGTCACTTTTAAAAATAAAAGAGGAGTAGACATTTTGAAAAACCACAACAGGGATGCACATTTTTGCAGTTTTACCGTCCATGCAAGCCTCAAACATGGAAGGGAAAAACTTAAACTAGCTCTTCTTAGGATTACGTTTTCTGAACTGCAAACTTTAAACCTCTACAATTCTAGTTTGATTTGGAGTTTTTGGGGCAAAAATGAAACTGCTGTTCCAAAATCTCAACTTAAGGAGTTTTAAGGACTGAAGACCTTTATCCTTCTAGTATATGAGGCCTTACATCTTGCTGAAATAACTTTAGAGAGAAGTCCATTTTTATTGAAGGCTCACCAAGTTTTTTTTTTCCTTTTGTTGAAATTTTATTTAATTTACTGGGAATCAATGGACAAAGTGTGAAATCACGTATCTCCGTGTAAAATGTTGCAGACTCCTTGTCATACTTCATTTTTTCTTCAGAACTAGTAATCACACTTTCTTGGACACTTGCTTGATTTTTCTTCTCTGACGGCAGAATATTTTTTATAAATTTCGAGCTAGAAGTTGATTTGCGTCTCTTCGAAAAAATAAAACAGGAGCCTGAATTTTAAAACATTGCAAACAACATACGTGGTTCTGCATTTCGGCCACCAATATAAACTTCACACGAAAGTGCATTAAGCTTATTTGTGAGACTGGTGCAATTTTTTCATTGTTCGTGATGCTGTGTAGCAGCTTAGCATAGTGCACGTTATCATACGTAAATCACTTTGATTTCCTTAAAATACTTAGACTAACCCTAACAATGTTGCTTTGAGGATTTTAAGATCTCAGAATATTCTATTAGAAACATAGACTATACTCAGGGGAGAAAACTCATTTGAAAATACCTGAAAGTCTTTGATACTATCAATGGTTTGAGAAATGATTTTCAAAGGAGCCGGCCAGTTGGAAAAATCAGGGTCATCGACTACACCTTTAAATCTTTTGGGATTATTATCATTCGCTTGTTGCTTACACTTAGCTTTATACATTTGCTGCAATGCTAAATAATTTCTGAAAATAACAAATAAGGATGAGAGTTTGAGTGAATGAAGTCGCAAGATATCATACAAGAAGAGTAATTTCTAGCTAAATTTGCGGACATAATTAAACCTAATTAATTCTCCTCGCAAACAACATTCAGGTGTCTCAGATTTTATTGAACGCAAACTGTAAAATCTTCATGGAAAAGCTAGTTGCCGAGAGGTAAAACTGTGTGCAAGTATGAGGATTTATTTTGATGCTCCATGCTCCAAGGTTTCGGTGCACTCTCACTACTTTTACACATTCCGCCTTCTGTGGTGCAGAGGTTGTAGAGCTTGGAAAAAAAACTTATCAAAAGTTTTCCTGGCAATTTTGTGTGGTTCTTTTAGAATGAGAGAAGAGTATTTACAGACAGTTTCAATGGAAACTGTGGGCTACTTTTTTCATATAAAAAAATTAACAAGAGTGAACACACAATTTCGCAATAAAAAATACTCAATTCTCAATAAAAAAATTCATAATTTCTATTAAAGTTCTATTTTCAATAGGACACATTCCATCTTCTACACTATAACAATGATTATTTTTTTTTTCTATATATAATTGGCGAAAATAAAGAAAAATATGCTATTCCAGTTTCTCCAAGAAAAACTTACTTGTGAAATGAAGTCATTGTTTCTTCAACTTCATGCTTTACGAGCTTGTCAAAGGATCCATCCATCCATAGCTTTTTTGTGCGAAACCACTTATTACTTAAGAAGATCAGTTTGGCGAGAGGGTGGACAATACTCTAAATGAAAAAAGAGACGGAAGAACAATTAGTTACCAAATGGAGCTTCAATGGTGTTAACTGTTGAAGTTGGATTTTAAAAAAAAAAATTAGTTTATCAGAGTTTCTTCCACCTCAGTTCCATCCATGTTTTACATCGAGCATTAAGTGCGAATGTGTGTAATGCTGATTGATGAAACAAGGGTGGAAGAAACCATGGTAAGCATTGCTTTGGTGGATGATGTCATACACTGAATTTTGGACGAGCAATATTTGTGTTGATATCGGACACAGAGACTTAGAGTTTAAACAGATCTTATTATTATTTACTAATCTATGGGGTTAAACCATCAAAATATGATTCTAAGACTCATGTAACTGACCCACTGGTGTATTGTAATATCTTTTTAAGAGTGATTTCTCTTTGAAATACATGAGTTTCTTAACTTCATTTTTAACTGTTAATGCTACTAGGGAAGCTCAAGTATCAAACAAAATTTACTGAACACTAAACTTCATTAGGTAATGGACAAGCTGAACCTTTTGGAAAGATGAAAAATTTACTTGAGTAGATTTAATTACTGTTTAAAATTGTATACCTTCAGCTCATCAAGGTCTGGATATGTAGAGAGCGGATACTTGAATAGCATTTCTTCTTTGTTTATCCATTGCACCACAGAGTCAAACTGTTCAATTTTCCGAAGGAAAGTTTTGATGAACTGAAAACGCACACAACAAAAAGGAAAAGACTAAAAAAAGCAAAGTCATGGTTCGTGCAACCTAAATTAAAATTGAGTAATTTTGGAAGAATTTTCAGGCACCTTTGGCGACTATTTTCATACATGTAAAGTTTTCCTCGAGTATCATGAATCTGAATTGGAGATTTTTTGTTCACTTTTGTTGATAAGATGTCTTTCAGAACAATTTATTTCAAATCAAATTTTTTGTTTTGTTGAATCTGATTTCCACTTGGTTTGACTTGGTATCTAAATTAATAAATTTTCACCCTTTCCCGAAATTTAAAAAAAAAATAACTCTGAAGCTTTCTACAAGAAAAAACACCCTACGCACCTTCAGATGTTGCCAAATATCTTTCAATAAAATACGAATTTTCAGGAAAACTTGGGTGATATTATTTTTTCATTTCATTTTTCAGAGAATTCAGTTTGAAATTTGATCGAAAGTGTCTGGAAATTTCAGGAGAGAACATAATAATTTTCCTTCAAAATGAATATTTTTTCAGAAAAAGTTGACAACACTAGCATGTTCATACAGCATTTTTACATAGCATTGGTGGCATCTCCTAACTTCTCTTTAAAGTATTGACATGAATTTTTCACATCATATCATATCCAGTCTTCTAAAGGCAAATAGGTAAATCTCTCCTAAAGTACAGGCAATAAGAATGGAATTTTGGTCGTACTATTTTTATATCTGCATTGCTAACTAATAATTTTTATGAAACCAAATTCCTTTTTTAATATAAGTTATCAGTAAAATTAAAGTTTATGACGCTGCTTACCAACACATATTCATAAATTTTAGTGGAATCATCCAAATTATTGAGAAACTCCAAACTCGGACAGACATCCTCCAAATCTTTATTTAGTTTTTCAGTCTTTTCTCGAAGCCTTGATTCAAAATCATACTTCACCTTTTCTATCAGCTGAAAATGAGAAATGAATTTTGAGTATAAGGAATCAGATCAGAGACAAAGATTTTAACAATATGTCGTGTCACCGGTGCTGGATTCTGTAGAACAGAAATACCTTTTAATTACCACACTAACTCAAGAACTCATGGTGGCTTGAATGGATTCTAATACTGCTGTACTAAGTCAGTCAGCAGTAAATACAGGATTTCCAACTTAAAATAAAACGCAAATGTACTCCTTTTAATACGTCGAGTCTTATAGGGAGGTTGCAACTTCATCCGTGGTCATCAACGTAAATGTTCCAATTTTGGCTTTGATGTGAAGTGTACCTATCTTATTCTTTGAAACAAGCAGAAGTATATTTTGCAAAAAGAGAACTTGGGGCAATGTATGAATTTACGGCTCTTTGACTTAACAAGGCAGAATAGGTAGAACCATACTAAAAGAGAATCAAAATGCAGTAATTAGGCCTCAGTGCAAAGAGATTTCCTACTTTGTAATGCTGAGGATACACCTTAAGTAACAGCCATAGATGGCTTTCCTCACTTTTTTAAAGAGGTCATCATTGCAAAAACTAGTGGGAAAATTGGACTGCGTTAAGCAAAAAGGAACCAAGCCACATCAACTATTGCCAAATGTAGTTGGGCAGTTTATTTTTTTACATGAAAATGGTTATGCGGATTTTTTTTTTGTTGCAAATTTTAGTAAATTCTCTGCATAGTGCAATGCAAATTCCTTAAAATTTAAAGAAAAAATCCGCACAAACGTTTCCTTGTAAAAAATTAAATTGCTCAGTTAAAGTTGGCAATCGCTGATGTGGCTTGATTTCTTTCTGTTAAATGCAGTCCAATTATAATTCAAGAGTTGGAAAATTCTATTACACCATGAGGCGGTGAAAAATTTTGCAAGAGAATAACACCTACAATTATGCATTCATCCATTATAGGTTTGATTCTATAAAGCCAGTTGATGGTTTCTTGACTGGCTTGCAAATGTTCAGCACTTAAACTGGTGGCCTCCATGAGATCAGTCCCAAACTGCGTAATGTATAATATTTTCTCGGTTAACTGATCAAGATATTTTGACTCAACAAAGATCATGTACTCCTCAACTGCGATAAGTTCCTCTGTTGTTGAAGGAACTGCCAAGGCACGCTTGGATAATTTGTTAAACTCATCGCAGATCCTAGAAATAAAATCAAAATTGATAAAAATCATTACATTGAAAAACTTTTACTTTGCTGACAAAAAGAGCTTGACTAGAATTTAGATGCAACTTAATGAGAAAATGATAAATTTTGTGGATCAAATTTATAGCCGATATTTAAAGAAGCAGAGGGATAAAAGAAAGACTGATTCAGATAATAATAACAAAATAGCTGGCATTGAAAACAATCCTATTGAGCGAAAGCATTTGCCAGTTTTGAGTAGAATACTGCCGTGCTAAGGAAGAACGCCGTATAAAAATCCGAGAGTTGCCAAATTTCCCTTGATAAGACATGTATTTTTGACGACAATCATGGCCATTATTCTTTGAAATTTTCAGATATTTTAGATTAAATAGCATACAAAATTGTCTAAAAATTTTGGAAAAGAATAAAATTTACAATTTTCTCAGTAAATTCGATTTTTATCGAAGGAAACTCAACAATGCCTGAAGGCTCATACTTAGCACGTTCTTTCTTAGCACGGCAGAATACAGTCAGACCTCTTTCAGTCGGAAACCCCGCTTACTTCATAATAATGACTTGGTCCCATTTTTTTGTTTTGCCAATACAAAAGATACCAGTTTAACTCTCAAAATCCGCTAAGTTGAAATGAACTGGACATAGCTGGTGCTCTAAAATTCCTTTGATAGGCCTACTGACAGAGTATCTATCTTACAGCAGTAGAATAAAAACGCACCATTAACATTGGGGAGAGAAAAAAATAGACAAATGCAACCTGAATGCATCATTCATCAGTTGGTTGACTGATTACCATATAAATTTACGTTAAATGGTGCCAGATTCCGATGTGACATTTGTCCGTTCTTTCCTTAACCCCCTTCTAGAAACACCGGTCACTGCAGATACTCTCTGGGTCACTGTGATTATTTTGGTCCAGTACGACTGACAAAAATATGGGAACTATGATTAGGTTTGCAAAGAACGTGTTAAGGAAAAATAAAGTGGTTGTGCATTATCTTACTCAAAATTATCTCCCAGCTGCTTATAGATTATTTCATTTAGCACTCTTTTGATGTATGCATCAGCTGTCTCCAACAATGAGTCGATCATTTTCTCTTGATTCAACCTGAAAATTGAAGAATAAGATCGCAATAAATCTTTACTTTGCTTTGAGTATTCATACAACATGCTTAATATTACAGCAATATTCCTGTGTTATATATGTATTAAAGAAAATTTGCATCCTTGCGAGCAGAGATACAGATAACAACGGAAACCAAAGACACCTTAAATACTGAAGTAACAAATTGTGAGTGTAAAATTGAGACAAAAACGCACTTATAATGCGTAAAATCAAAATAAATAAACTCAATTCACAAATTAAACAAGATTAAAACCTTACTAGACCTCAACACCCCCATCATATTTCTAAACCTCTCAGTTCTTGATGGTGAAGCTTATGGAGAACAATATTTTTCCCTGCAGATTGAATACATATTTTCAACTCTCTCCCAATAAAACCATCAAATTTTCCCAAAAAATATAACAATTCTATGCAAGACTGGCAAAATGGTATGAGACAGCATACCTGCCGAAATCAAAATATTCCACTTTGACAATTTTAAGTATTCTTCTTCTCAAACTTTGAAAGTAATCCACTTTTTGAAATAAGTACTTGTATTCTCTGTCCTCTTCTAAAAACCAGTATATTTCATTTTCCTGTTGCTCCGACATTAAATGAATGAAGTCAGACCCTACAACATCAGATTGAAAGAAAAAGCTTCAACACTACTGGGCCATCAAACAACAATCTTTTCGCAGAGGACATAATTTCGTGCATGAGATATCGACTGATTTTTTTTTCCTCCTGGCAAACAGAGAAGAAAACAGAAAAAAAGTTGAAAGTTGGAGTGATTAATCTCTCAAATTTAAAAACAATCTGTGTGATAATATTTTAAGAGCTTAATTGGTATTTCGATGGATAACCGAGTTTAGATTTGAAGATTTATGACCAGCAATAAGGGAAGATGCTGATCGGATCGATCAGATCGGTGCTGATCACTCACCCACTTCATTTATATGAGATGTCAGGATAGTCAGATATTTATCTAGATGACAGTTGAGAGTTTCTTGTGTTGAACCATCAAAAGCGGTTTCGCTTCCAAGTTCTATGTATGATGCAGCACTAGGAAGTGAAAACCAGGTTTCCATCACTGGCAAACTTGACATCATTCGTTTAACCTGTAAATTCAGTCAAATGCAATACTTTAGTTATAGGTGCATTTTTAAAGGTAAGGGTAAAAATTGTAGGTAATATGTTTCAGCATTCTTTGTTAGTAATTACCACTTCTGAAAATGTAGAGTTTCCCCCTTACCCTCATCAACATTTTCGAGTCATTGATGCTCGGGGAAAATAAATCAGAAAACCCTACCACAGCAGGGGTAAATTCCAAGAGTCATTAGGAGTAAAAAGTAGCCTTTGATAGAGGGAATCCATTTTTTTTACTTCATGAAGTTTCAACCAGGAAAAATAAGGGAGAAACAGGGTTTCTAAAAATTCTTTATTTTCCAATACCTCAATTTTTCTTGACCTTCAAACTAAACATCTTCTTTGGTTTTTTTTTCTTTGAATTATGCCGACTTTTGCTGAACTCTAGATAAAAAAAGATTCAAATTATGGAGGAAGGTTCTCCAAAGTTATTTTTGCTCGCTTGAATGACACTGGCTGAAGCTCATACTGACGAGCTCATCGCACTACTAGCAAAATCTCCTGATAGACCACTGAAGACCTGACATTAGAATCTAATAATTCTTCATCTAATTCAAACTAGCCCGGGTCCTTTAAAAACCTTTAAAGTTGTACTTACGTGGTCTGTTATCTCGCCGAATCTCCTCCGTACCTCTTCCGCACTTGGTTCCATGGCTGGAATTTTACGACTAAACACAGCATCAAATTGCAGAGTGGGTACTGACCAAGGATCTGACATCACATCATTGATATGATGCAAAGTTCTTTGAATTAATTGCGTCATCTGTGAAAAAATAGCAAGAGTAAAAATTTGATGTCAGCGATGGAAAGAAATATTTTTTATTCAATAATATTGCGATAAATTGCCACCGATATAATCGCAATAATCAACTGATAAAATCGCTGTTCATCGCAATTACTGCTACTTGGGTTTCAGTGGGCGTCCCTTTTGTCTCATCCGAGCAGGAGGAACCCAATTAAACATCCTCTTTGGCAGCCTTTCCTCCGTCATCCAGTTAACGACCATACCGAGCAAATTGTTTGGTCATGACATCGAATACAATGTAATTTTTAACTTATATGATCGGACGCTCTCTATCATTACAAACCTGCAGGAATCCATCTCCGTTACTCTTAGCATATCAACGGTGTAAGTCGGCAATCACATTACTCTGTTTGCGATGTCGCAGACTTCTTGTCATACTTTAATTTCTTAACAGGAAACTACTCAACGGCAACTCTTAAAAATTGCCGTGAGTTTTCTTTCGTGAATTTTCGAAGAAAATTCTGTAAAAACTTCAAGAAATGATGTCAATTCATTCTCCTTTAAAAAAATAACATAGAGGCGGAGATTGTCAGACACCGCAAACAGGTTATGTGATTGCCGACCAAAGACATAAAGACGGAGCGCTCGTATCTAAAAGCACGGGGAAAAAGTGAAGCTAGGTTCGGCGCTGCGCGCTTGTGTGAGTGTGTAAATGAGCGCGGGAATCCATGGCGGCAAACGGAAATTTGATTTGAACTTGTCCTCTTGATTTTTGCACATTTCTTCTTTGAAACGTATTTTAAATTCCTAAAACGAATATACTAAGAAAGTTCGGTCTGCGTCCTAATATAATACACCTACTTTTGCTCGGTAACAGGCAGTAATCTCAGATAAAGTTAGTTTTTCTTCTGCTCATGGTGGTTCTGCAGGTTCAAACAGGCCGTTACAGTTCTAGATCAACGTTACTCCCAAATGAAATGAATCGGTCGACGACGGACTGAAACTAACCTAAAGTTAAAAAAATATGAGTGTGTACCTGAATTTGGGCAAAAATCAACCTAAAATACTTTGTTTCCGCAATTTTATTTATTAGTTCCCGCCCTACATTTGAATTCAAACTTGTCCCGATTTCGCCGCCAATCCTCTAGCCAATAGTAGAGGTGATTGAAAAGAAGCTCTAGAAGCTTCATTTTTTGCTTTTAGTGCTCCGTCTTTATGTCTTTGTTGCCGACTTACACCGCCGATATCCTGGGTCTGTTTCTTCAGCTGCCAAACTTCATTCCACAGGTAAGGATAATTTTGACTACAATGTTGTAAATTCTCCTCTTGTTCTCTCTGGAAATCCGCTGATCCCAGAGGATTCCATTCAACATTTTTGGTACCTAGCCTTCCGCCCTAAGGTGTTCCTTTCCTTGGTAACTACTAGCTCTTAATTTCACATTCTATTAATTTAATTAGCAAACACGCAATGATACAGAGCCTACCTGAGAGTTGAAAATTCAGTACATAATTGGTGAAAGTAAGTTCAGGGTTGAAATCTTCCCACATCATATTCCGGCCTCAGAAGTATGTTCCTACTTGATTTAATTGTAATGGATTCAGTTGACAATAAATTGGATATGCCCGTGAGCACATGGAATGTAAATACTACAGCCAGCTGTGGCATGATAATGAGGGAAGAATTAGAATCCACCTGAATCCACGCTTGATTAAGATGAGCAACTTCGGCTCATCTGAATTTCACACTTGGAGAGGTAACCGTATTGACAAATCAACATAATTATTCTAATTTCCGAATGTTTGCGAAAGATTTTAATTATTTAACATTCTCACTAGGCGTAAATTATAAAATAACACAATATTGTAAGTCATCATGCCAGAAAACTAAAAGCCACAACAAGGCGGATAACTTAGTTTGTTTACCGAACTTGACCATGTGCGCGTCCGCCATATTGGATTACGATTTATGAATGAACTATTCAAAACGGGACGGACCAATGAGAGACCAAGAATCCGGCATCGTCAGGTCATCGACCTCATCGTAGTACTACGCCTACGCGTAGTATTTTGTAGTAAGCGTTGCCAGATCGAATGAGCGAATAACGGTCAAAGCTTTCTGGGCCGTTAAACATGATAATATACGCAAGATTTCGACAGGAATTTTGCAATTCTTGATCCTACACTTTCTTACGACACAGCAACGGACTGAACCCTGTGAAACTTTTTTCTTAAAGTACTTGCAAGCGATTCCAGTCGAAATTTCCTTCACGCTTTTCATTCATATTTGTAATTTTTTTTTTTTTTTTTTTTTGTTACTTAAATTATTTCTATTTTTTTTTATCGTTTATTTCTGTTAAATTTTTGTAGTTTGAATCTGTGATTATAGTTACGTTGTTTTGTTTGTGTTGTTTTTCCTTGGTTGCACCACTCACCACAAGTTCTTACTTAAAGGGTGGTGGGATGTTTTTATTTTATTTTTTATGAAATCTTGTTAAAAACTGGCTGTGCTATTGTACCGAAGTGAAATAAACATATTTGAAATTTTTTTGAATTTTTTGAAAATTTTGAAATCTGAGGATTCCAGTTTTGACTCGATCCACTGAACAAAAATGGCTTTGACGAATATTTAGCCTCAGTGGATTAGGATTATTTCCTCGCAAACGGTTACAGACAACCAGACAATCTTAGAAGTCAAAATATTAATTCTGCTTCTTTTTTTTATTGCAGAAAACTTTTCTTTGAGAGAACTTTAATCGCCAGTAGAGGGGTTACGCAATAATAAAAAAACCGGGGGCATTTTTTACGGTAAAAATCATCCAATTTTTTAGGTTATTTTCATGAGATAACCTGACACGGCCATTAAATTCGCCCATGTCAAATGAAATCAAGCAAAATTGTTAAATTTGATCATTACTTAATCTACACACTTTTTGAAACACTGAATGACCTCACATGGCGTAAAGGATGTATTGTAGACCTGAGTTCGGGAGGTAAACAGTCTTTCCTCCTCGTGTAAAATTTGAATTTTTGGAAACGTCAAGTTTCAACGTCGACTCATTCATTTCCTTTTTTCCCTCTTAATCTTTCTTTTTCTTGAGTAATATGCTCTATCCTAGTGCCGTTTAAAAAATTGAATTCAGAAATCTAATTAAAAAAATAGAATTATGAAATCTAATTAAAAAATTGATTTAAAAAATTTGCCCGGATTTCAAAATGGTAATATTTTGAAGTTGTGCAGTAAACAAATCCATTTTTTTTTAAAAAAAAAAAAATTCTGGGGCACAATTCCACCAGCTGGATGTTATCTACCCGGGGACTCAGATTAATGTTGACGCTACAAGCTGATAATCAGCCGTGACAAAGCGTTACAATTTTTGTACAAGCTACGTCACAAGAACGAATTAATAACAGGTCTCTATGGAGATTCATGGGCTTACTTGAATTATGAGAAGAGCAGTTGCACATTTCAGAAGGGCAGGTAGTTTTTCTGGCGGCGTTTTGGCGACTTTACTGGAGCTGAGCAATTGCAAAAGTTGTGGATACCATCTTTTACAAATATAATGCTCAGATTTGTTTAAATCAGTCAATACAAGATCGCAGAATGTAAGGATGTCCAGGTTGCCTCTCGATCTGGATACGAAAAAAAGAGAAAATATTATGTTCCGATCAGCAGCGAGGCGTGAATGATCAATTATCCATATTACCTCACACTGAAAAAAAAGATATCGGTGTATTTACTAAGAAAAGGATAAAATTACCAAGGATTCAGGATTCTATTTGATCCAAGTTTTTTCTTGGTAAAATTACCATAAATGGAATTGGTAATTTTTCCGTGAATCTCGGTAAAATTAATGAACTTTCTCGGTAATTTTACTAGACCTTGGTAAAAATGCCAATATTTTTTATCGACTGTGGTAGAATTACCGAGATAAAATGACAAAGTTACCGGGAATTGATTACCAATAAAAGTGATATTCTTACCTGAAAAAACAGTAAAAATACCGGTTTTTAGGTAAGCTTACCAGACTGTCTTGGTAAAATTACCAATAATTGGTAAAAAAGTGAGATGGTAAAGGCACCAACGGACCTTGGTAAAAACGCCGAGAATTTTTTTCAGTGCACTTTTTGTGATTATCATCCTCGCACAGTTTTTTAGGATTTTATGTATTTCCTTGCACAGCTTGGCAACATCGCATTGGGAAATGAATGGAGATGATAGTATCTGACGGTGGACCCCGTTTGAGACGTTGAGAAAAAAGAGGTTCGTGACGTCATAAAGCGGAAAGCAGCAGAGGAAATCCACATGGAGCCCTCGAAAATTATTCGGCAAGTTTTAAAGGATAAAGAGAATAATTTAACTTTTTCTGATCTACTATCTTTACGTCTTGCCGGTTACACTGGAAAAAAACACATTGGATCTAAAGTCAAGACTCTTAAAAACATCGACAAGAAAAAACACTCTTGATTCAATCAGAATCTAGCCTAAATAAAAAACCAAGCCTCTTAATTTAAGCGGATTTCGTTTTGATTCAAGCAAAAATCCGATTGAATCAAGAGCATTTTTTCTTGTCAATGTTTTCAAGAGTCTGGACTCTAGATCCAATATGTTTTTTTCAGTGTATCGGGCAAGAAGAAAAGTTTTGCCTGTAGTTCCCAAAAGTATTGACGGAGTACTTGCTCAAATTGCTGGAAAAAATTGACGATGAAAGTGATATATGTCGAATAAAACTGTGGTTAAAATACGTTTTCTCTTTGTCATATCTATATCCCGCCGATGTAGCATCTGCACTTCAGGAATTGAAAAATATAATTTCACCTCCTCCTGACTGCGCAAAATTCACAGCATACGTAGAAAAAAAACTGCATTAACACCACATCACTTCTTTCACCCACCTTATGAGCATTTCCCTTAACTGACATTGAGGTTACTTCAACAAATGGTGTCGGAAGCTTTCATAGCTAGCATCAATTGGAATTTTACTACCCGCATCCAAACGTCCATCAAGTCTTGAAAACCATTTTAGATAATCAGAATATAGACCCCCTAAAAAATACGAAAAAGTATAAAAAAAATATCTTCTTTTCATCTATTAATTTAATATATTTAAGTGTTGTTTTATGTCAGCACTTAAACATTACTAACTATGAACCAAACGGCCCGGGGAAGAAGTAATTTTTACCTGTAAGAGCGGAAATTGACCAAAATATCAGGTAAATAAGTTTTGCAGGAATCAAAGACGCTGAGAACCAATGGATGGTTCACAAACAATGCATTGTCTAAAACATCTTTATGCTTGAGGTACTGAAGATAATTTTTGCTTTTGCCTCCTGCGCTGAAAAAAAAAGAAAAAAAAAACAATAATTACAGATCACTAGAATATGTATTGGAGAAATTAAGGGGTGGCTGCATACAGACCAGAGCGGTGGCGGCCACAAGGCGGTGGTGTATGAAGAACGATAGGTATGATAGTGAAAACTGACGACGACGATGCAAGGTAGGATGCATCGTAGGGATGAAACGAAGAACTTGAGAGATTAAAGTTAGGTAGAGTGTATTCAGTTAAGGCAACCTGGCAACATACATGATTCACAAGAAACGTGTGTGAAAATTCGAGGACCCTGGTACAAATTGGCGATAAGAGCTGCGTTCCAAAATACCATAGGAGTTCTTATAGCCGGCTAGAGAAGGCTACAGAAAATCATATAGCTGGCTGTAGAATGCGGAGAAAATCATACGGCCGGGCTATACGAAGCGATAAAAAATTAAGCAGCCGGGCTATAGTTCCTATAGCCAGGCTTTCCAATTTATCGCCTGGCTGTTGCTTTTTCGTCATCTTTTATGAGAGGCTATAAGAAATTGTGTAGAAATTCGTGTGCTTTGGAAATCATTAAGTTTGATACGGAACCACCTCAATATTTACAAAAAACACGTTATATTTTCCTTTAATACTTATTTTTTTTCACCAATTAAAACAAGAATAATCCATACAGGATGTGCAAACATTTCAAAATCATGAGTTGAATAACGCTGACTCCGCCAGATTAAATATTAGAGCCTAACACAAAGCGGAGCGGCGACGCACTGGCGCCTACAAACCTAACAGGGATACTTCACGCATTGCGCAACGCGTGAAGTATCCCTGTTAGGTTTGTAGGCGCCGATTCGCGTTTCGCGCTGGCTGCCCGCCTGCCGCGCCGTAGCATGCCACGGCGCTTGAAGCAACTATTTCACACCAGAGGTATTGCACAGTATCATACGAAACTGAAGGCGCTCTAATATATTAGGAATGGCAGGCATCCATCAAAAGTACGGAGCTTTCCTCGCAAAATAAATCAAGATACTACGGCCCAAAAAGAGAGCAGTGGTCCAAAAACTCACTTAATCCTAGTATCCGTAATTAGTGACGTTTAGCATACAATACACTTCATCGCCTGGCTGTGAGTTTGGCCAGGCAATTTTCCTCACCAAGAATCGATTGGTTTATGTACAATTAAATGGAGGGAATACAGTGTTGCCAACTTTCAAAAATCGCCAGTATGATGTAAGCTGCCCGCAGTACTTACAGGGCAGTATTAACGAAAGAATAACTGGCGTGTTTTATCAACTCTCATGGAAAAGTAGAGTTCTGCTCGTTGACAATGGTCGGTAAAATTTCACAATTATTTTTGTTCGTGACATATCCAGCGTTGCTATTTCGTTTTGAATGATTTACATTCCTTTAAGTTATTTTTTTTTGTGGGATAAAGAAAACTGAATATAGTATGGCAAAATTATCAATATTTATTCATCCATAGCGTCCTGTTGGTTGATCCCTTTCTGATGCTTTAAATGGAAAGCAAAAGTATACCAACTCACAGAGGGAAACCAAGTGATCAGGCGGTTACTTCGTGGTCGCTGTAGAGTGCAACACTCAGAAACAGGAAATATGGATAGTTTACGCAAAAAAAATTAAGTGCTGCATCTGAAAGTGCTTTAGGTATGTGCTGAATTTGCAGTGTTTTTTATAATTTTTCTCTGATGTGGAAAGTTTTAGTCGAAAAAAAAATTTAAAAGTGACAAAATGTCCCGCCTCGTAAAGTCATCAGACGGCATTATTTCCCGTTTTCATACATGTATTTTAGCACATTATGCCATTTTGCCATATCTCCTTCATAATTTATTGTTAGATTTAGAAATGAATTATATTCTCGCGCTCAGTTCACATAGACACCTGCAAAAAGTTCAATTATAAATTAGCTCTTGCATGACAAATTTTACCAACCAATTACCAACGTACCGAGCGGGCCTCTCATTTGTCGAAACAACTCTGGTGGCAGTAACAGCACGGAGACGCTCTTAAACACCCTTAGAAGTCTGGAAAACTCTACGAAGAGGTAAAACACTTTTCCGGCATTTTTTAAAGTTGGTAGCACTATTACTCGTATTCTATCAGTCCTGATAGTTATACACACGGAAAAAAACTTAAAAAACTAATATCGATTTTTTCAAAAGTTATTTAATACCTTTAAAAAAAAAAATTAAGCAAGTGTTCAAACAGTACAGTGGGTGTGTAGATGTTTTAAAAGTTTTCATATCTTTCTACTTATATTTTACATTTAGTAAATTTGTTTAAGAGGATTGTCAATATCAGAAGATATAATGCACATTCCCTAACAATTCGTAAAATGTTGATAACGTCTGCATTCTCGTGCGTTCTTTCTCTCCAGACCGGCAGTCCTTTGGCACCTGGCAGTATGTCCACATCCAGAAATAAGAAGCTGATCGTAGGAAGTTCATGGGTATCAGGGTTTGCGTTAATTTTTTTCTTTTTTTTTTTCAATTTTTAATTCTTCCGTTTTGAAAGTATGAAACTGCAGAATTGCGTAGGTATCTTGATTCGCGGCATCGCAAACTTCCTGTCATATTCTATTTTCCACATCGAAAACTACTACCTTAACGCCATTTTTTTAAAAGTTTGGTGATTTTTCTTCTGTATGTGAGGAGTACTCTGTTTTTTTTTCAAAAAATAAAATAGAGCGGTGATTTTGAAACACCGCAATCGATATTTGCATTTTTGCAGTTTCAACATCGACATTCATCTAAATGTATGCGGAAAAATGGAAAAAAAATGTTAACAGCACCATAAAGGGAAAATGTCATCTCTTTAAAATTCTGGCGATTTTCCTTCTCTGAGTGAGCATACTCTGTGAGCACTTTAAGGCATGATTCATTGATTCATATTAGGTCTCCTCTCAAAAAATAAAATAGGAGCGGACATTTTGAAACACCGCAGCCAAGATACGCATTTTTGCAATTTCATCGTCGTGGCGATGGAATGTGCATTATATCTTCTGATATTGACAATCCTCTTAAACAAATTTACTAAATGTAAAATATAAGTAGAAAGATATGAAAACTTTTAAAACATCTACACACCCACTGTACTGTTTGAACACTTGCTTAATTTTTTTTTTTAAAGGTATCAATAGTTATCAATTTAAAAGCATCAATACTTTCAGTTTTTTTCCAACTGGACGCCATTTTGCAATTAGGAGCCTCAAGATCCGGCTAATCCATAAAAACACTATGTGCAAAAGGAAACTAATGATATAAACGTTGTTTCTAAAATTTGCCAGAATTTGTAGTTTGTAATCGTCACGTGTAGTCAACTTATCACTCGATTCGTGTGGCGATGGATTGGATGATAAAAAAAAAAAAAAAATTAAAGCACTGCTCGTTGCCAATTCGGAGATATTTGAGTCCTGGAATCTAACAAGCCATTCGTAAAACATACGCTCGCTTTGAGGTTTTCACTAAAATCATCTTTCATTCTTTTAAAAATTGATTTTATTTTTTTCCTCTTTCAGTTGAATTCCTTTTAAGCGGATACATTTAAAAAAAAGAAAAAAAAAATCATATTGCTTTTCTCAAAAAGAAAAAAAAATTGAAATGGAAAAGCAGGATCTGCATTTAATCAAACGGAGCTAAGCGCCAACTGTTTGCTAACTCATGAGCCGTGGGTATGTGACAAGAGCGTTGGGTACAGGGCTCATGAGTTAAAGAGTCCCACCAGCGATCTCCACGTAGGCTGCTTCGTCACCGCTGACGTCACTGGCGCTTTATAATTCCCGTTCATTCTCACAACTCTCAACTGACGAGCATACTCCTTTTTTCCCACCCGTCTCTAGTATCGTTTAGATAAATATGTCCAATTTGTTATTTGCTCTAATTTATTTTTTGATCCAACAAAAGTGCACAGTCTGAGGGCAAAATAAAAGGAAGATTCCGATTCAAGCTAAGCGGTTTTTTGTCTCACGTTTTTCCACTGAAGGAGTTGTTACTTATATTTTAGTATTCGAAAGGAAATTTCAGAAAATTCTGAGGCCCATGCTGCTCAGATTTTCTGGAAAAAAATGAAATGTATACAAAACTCAACTATGCAAAAAACTATGCCTAAAAAACTATACTCAACTGTTTTTTTTTTTTTTTTTTTTTTTTTTTTTTTTTTTTTTTTAGTGCAAACTCATAATGCAACGCATAATGAGTCCAGGCTTATTCTGAAAATGATTGCGGTAGACACACGAGTCGTATGGATAATAAGTTGGAAATATAGCCAGTGGCGTGGCGTGGCGTGAATTGCGATGTATCGATTATTATGCCATTTAAACCTATGGAAAAGGATCGATTGAGAGGGTGTTCGCAGGGAACACCTAAATAATCGATTCTTTTCCATAGGTTCAAATGGCATAATAATCGATACATCGCAAGTCACGCCACGCCACTGAATGTAGCCAACGTGCGTTTAAATTCGGAAAACTGGATGAATCTTTTTGAGAGACAATTGTGAAGCTTTTTCCCCTTTGCAATTTTTTTTTTTTTTTTTTTTTTTTTTTTTTTTTTGGTCGCCTGTATTGACATTTTCAGTTCTCTGAACTTTAATGCACGTTGGCTAAATTTCCAACTAATTGCCTATAGGCCTATTCTGTTGGAATTCATCTCCATTGACAGCGGCCTCCCTTATTGGAAACTTGGACTCGGATTTCATCATTCATGTCATTAGGAGTGTATTCTGCCGTGCTAAGGAAGAACGCCGTATGAGCATTCGAGAGTTGCCAAATTTCCTTCGATAAAATGTTTATTTCTTTAGGAAATTTATGAATATTTTTCCTTTAAATTTTCAGAATATTTAGGTAAAATTGTGAACTAAGTTATCTGAAAAATTGGGAGGAAAATATTTATACATTTACCATGAAATTTACATTTTATGAGATGAAATTTGGCAACGCCTGAAGGTTCGCACGGCGTTTTTCCTCAGTACGGCAGTATTGCACTTTTGCGGCAGCCACTTTTGAGTTTGAGTGATTTCCGAGAGAAGAGTTGCTGTACGCACTATTTTTTTTATTATTTTTTCTATTTTTTTTTTTAAAAAAAAGTTAAAAGCGTATCACGGAAAAGCTCCTATATATTTAGGTTCGATGGTTGTACGGAGCAGTAATGGTGTGGAAGCGAAGACTAGGAGAATGCTCCCCATAACACGGCTGTTTTTGCTCTGTTCTTGCCTGGTAATACTCGTGCATTTTTAGTCCGTGGGCTGTAATGACGAATTCTTAATGTTGCTTTTTAGGGTTTGGGTAATCTTCTCATGAGACGCGAGGGGAAAAAAAATTGGACTGCATTTATATTAAACAGACGGTTTTGCAATTAACCGCTCAAATCGGTTATTAATAGAGGGGAAACTGGTTTTATTTTTCAAGCCCACCGTTCTTTGATCCTGTAAAGTATCCCTAGTAGCAGAACAAATTTTTGTTTTTCTAAAAAAAAGTACAAAAAAAAAAACATATCTGTTATCTAAATGGTAGTTTTATATAAAAAACCTGTAACGCTTATATAAAAAAAATCAAAGTTCAGATCTGACCATAATATATGAAGAATGATAAAAGCTAGCAGATAAGGTAATTTTTTTTATAGACAATTTTTTTTATTTTTTTATATAACGCATGCACACAAAAGTGTTATAAGTGAAATTTTTTATGTAACTATATGTATTATAAAAAAAGGTCATCATTTTCACGAGCTTTTCGCGAATTAGAAGATTTTTTAGTATGTTTGCGAAAATCTCACGAAAATTATGACTTTCTTATATAATGGTTACATAAAAATGTTCACTTTTAACACTTTCGTATGCATGCGTTACATAAAAAAATTAACTTTCGTACATAATCTTTATCTTTTCCTTCTATGGTTCTGCTACTGGAGATGCCACTAGTGAACTGAGTTTAGCATTTTTGGTAATCTGAGAAGATGAAGAACAGTTTAGAGAGATTATTGGAAGTGTACACGGCGGTTCTACGCATAAAGCTTTTTTTCAATGCATGCAGTGATTAAAATTAAATTTTTGAGCTTACGAGCAGAAAAAATACATCAACACTGTCCAAAGCAAGTACCTTAAGTACATATAAGCTAAACTTCTTAATAACAGATGTGGGTCCAGCAATTTTGTAACACCGGATTGCCTTCATTTAAACCTATGCTAAATAATCGATTCTTGTTGGAACACCTGACCCCTCCAAGAATCGATACATTTCCGTAGGTTTAAATGGAGAAGAGACAACGTTGCCAATTTGCTGGATCCGCCAATGCTTTGTAACAGAATTTGGCACACTCGCACCTGATCTGACGCTACTCATGACCTGATAACTACATGAGCAATTATAGCCGGCGAAAGGACTTCTCTTATCCATAATTTTATTCGCACGGCAATAAAAGTCAACTTCTGTGGATATAATCAGTGGCAATACTCGCAAGTGGGCAACACTGTTCTCATCATTCAAATCAATTTCAAATAATCAGGTGAGGTGATTCAAGGCCTGTCCCTATGTATACAGATTTTTTCACTCGTGTTCAAATAGTAGGTTAGGTCCATTACAGATGATAGTGTATTAAAAATATTCCTGATTTTTTTCCCTTTTTTTAGTTCCTTTCCAACTGGAGCGGTTGTTTCAACTGTGCGTTGATACCGACATTAGGCAGTCATGAACTTTCAACAGCTACGGGGAATCCTTCCATCACCCATGAGGTAAACACCATATTTTCATTTAGGTAGAAAAAGGAATATTGGAGCTTTTTGCACGCCATACAATGCTGCCGTGCTAAGGAAAAACGCCGTATGAACCTTCAGGCATTGCCAAATTTCCTTTGATAAAACACGAATTTCCTAGTAAACTTATGAATATTTTCCTTCCAATTTTTCAGATTATTTTCTTCGCAATTTCACCTAAAGTCCCTGCAAATTTCAAGGACATATATTCATAACTTTCCTAAAAAATGAACATTTAATTGAAGGAAATTTGGCAACTCTCGAATGTTCATACGGCGTTCTTCCTTAGCACGGCAGAATGGAATGAGTCACTGAGAGATGTCGGACAAAAGGAAACTTTAAAAGATCGTAACTCCATTATTACAAAACGTGGAGGTCCTAAAAGTGATTCTATTCGGTTCTCTCGTAAAAATTACATTAGGAAGCATCCCGCGAATTTTAAAATTTCACGAAATTAACAGCTAATTTTGCTGTTTTAGTAACAAAAATCATGTCCGATCTCTCTCATTGACTCGATCCACTGTGCGCCATGGGGATTTGGGATATAAGTACGTTTCCTTCTGTAAAATTATGCAAAAAATACGACGGTGCCTCCGCTTTTCTCTGGAATGAACTTCCAAGCTCAAAAAAGCAAAGTCCTCGGGTCAAGGTACCTTGGGCCACGAAGGTAACATTTGTATCCGGAGAACAATTTCGGTCGACTTCGGTCAAAAACTTGGATTCTAAAATTTTGCCGAAACCCCTATTCAGTTTTGAACGGCTCATTCTATTTTTGTATCAATACGAGACTTTTAATTTTATTGCGATCCCATAATCTCGTATATATTTTTAATAATTATAGTAATGATTTCAGTTGCCTTTTTTACTTTGTTAGAACGAAAAATGATTGGATATTCACAATCGCACACGGCAGATTAGAATTTTGAATATATTCCCCTTAAAACTACGTGTTTGAACTGCAGAATTTTAAACCGGCATAGCTACAGTTTTATTTTTATATTTCTGGGTATTTATTCACCAAAATCAGTGTAGCATATTTTTTTATGCTCTGGTATTAGGGACTGTATTCATAGTCGTTCCTTCAGCTCATTTCCTCGGAAGACCCCATATTATTGCATAGGCGGATCTTTGGGGGCGTGCCCCCTCCCCCATTTGCCCCCCCCCCAAAAAAAATAGAAAGAAAAAGGGAACAAAGCAAGAAGGAAGAAACGGAGGGGAAGGGGTGGGAAGGACGCTTGGATTTCGTATAATAATTCATGACGAAATTGACTCAAACTGCACATTAGATGCTTTAAGATTTTGAAAATTTTCTGGGATGTGCCCTCTGGACCCGTCTTATGCCCCCCGTTCGAAGTGTCTTGAGCCACCTATGTATTGTTTACATTAAGACTAAGGAACGTTTCATCCTCAGGGTAGCAAATTAAAGACATAGCTTCCCGAATCTCGAGTAACATTCAAGAGTATAACATACTAGCCGGGGAGCGGGGAGTGCCCCTGGACCTCCGGTTCCTCGCTTCGCGATGAATTTGCGACTCGCTCTGCGAGCCGCTCCACACAGCATTTAATTTTAAAGACAATTATAATGAGAAGACAACATCTTCGCCACTTTGGCCACGGCCGCTATCTTGGATTTTGAAATTTTGAAAATCTGACCAAAAATTCGAGTTCCCCGTCGAAAAATAACCCCGGATACTGAGTTTCACAAAAATCGATCGAACAGAAACCGACTTAGCATTCAAGGCCACGGCCACCATCTTGGATTTGGAAATTGGAAAATCTGACCAAAAAATCGAAATGCCCGTCAAAAAGTACCCCCTGCCACAAATTTACACCAAAATCCGTCGGATAATACCCCCTAAAACGTGAAATTTCGTCTATGATGCTGTGACGTCACGCGACTCCAATGCATTAGTATAGGGAGAAACAACTTTTCTCTTTTTTTCGGCTTCAGCGGCATTATTTTCTAAATTTGATTTTTCAGACGTGTGAAGGCGGTTCTTAGCTTCACTCTTGCCAAGTTAGAGGGAAGTCACTTCGACAGTTTTTTTGTAAAGTGTTGATGAAATCTTGGTGACTTAGCTCTATACATTTAACATGGAGTATATTTTTAATTGATCGAATACATCACTTTCTGTCACAGGCGGGAAAAGAAGATGGAATAGGAACGTATAATGCGCCATATTGGTTCGCTGAGGAGGAGACGGCTGTATCAACACTATCAACGCCGGTTCTCCAGATTAGAGCAATGAATAGCAAAGATGATAAGAAGAAAAAAGGAAGCCAAGAAACTAGGAATCCGAGTGCTCTTAAAGATGCGAAGAAAAAAGGAATTCAGGATGGTAAAGTTGATAAAAAGATGAGCTTCAAGTTCCCCTCTTTCAGACGAACCAACAGCAATGGAAGCAACCACAGCAAGTATGACAACTTCTCATTGTTTATCAATTTCATGCGCGAATAATAATGCAAGCTGTTGGTTGCCGGTATAGAGCGTATTTGATACATCAAACAGATGAGATCGTATCGATATCGATTGGTTCAACATGTAAACATAGCCGCAAAAGTCAATGGAGATGTTGCACGTGTGAGGAATTTGCGATTTGACTGTTGATTCTTACTTGAAAGTTCGCGAGAAACACGATGGTGCCACTGGTTTTCTCTGAAATCAACTCCCAAGCTCAAAAAAGCTTTCAAGTTGAGGCCAAAATGGAGGGGATATTCTACCCTACCCTGAGAGTCCACCTCTACATCAAGACAAACTCTCCATGCAAAAATAGGGAACAAATACATTAGGAGGGTTGCCGTGTTTTCAGTTAAAGAGTCCCCAAATAAAGTGGCAGCCCTGTCAATGTATTTGCTCCCTATCTTTGCATGGAGAGGCCGTCTTGATGTAGAGGTGGCCTCTCAGGATAGCGTAGGATATCCCCTCCATTTTGGCCTCGACTTGAGAGCTTTTTTTGAGCTTGGGAGTTGATTTCAGAGAAAACCAGTGACACCGTCGTGTTTGTCGCGAACTTTTACATAAGAATCAACAGTCAAATCGCAAATTCCTCACACATGCAACATCTCCACTCAGTAATTTGAGAGAACGGGTTTTTGGCGGTACATTTTCGAATCTCATGAGTACAAAATGGCAATGAAAAGTGAAATTGTTAGAAATGTTTATTTTTTTTCCCTGCTGGTTTTATGGCTTCGTGTCTAGCGCCTTCAGCCAACTTTAGACTCTGATTATTGTCCGTAGACGTCAAGGGATTTAGGTGCACCCATGCTCCAGGCTTTTCAAATTTTCAGGGATTCGGGCTGAGTAGAATCTGTTTCAGGAGATGTACTCGTTAATTCCGTGCGAATTAGACGACACCACCGGGATTCGAACCCGGGACCTATTCACCTAGAGTCAGACGGATCTCCATTTGGGCCACTTCCTTGTGTTTTTTTCTCTCATTCACAAAAACATTTGTACCGTTGGCAGGATCGATTTAGGAGGGGGACATTTTTAGCCTATTATCACCTATGGCAGTGAAGTGTGGCAGTTGAAGAAGCGGACCCAAGAAATGCTCAAGGCGACCGAGATGGATTTCTGGCGAAGATCGGCTGGAATCTCGAGGAGAGAACGTGTCAGGAATGAACGTGTCCGAGAGATAATGGGCGTTGAGGGGACGATTGTGCACGATATCATGACCAAGCAATTGGTATGGTATGGGCATGTGCAGAGAATGGCTGATACCAGGTTGCCGAAGAAGGTGTTGGAGTGGGTCCCCCCAGGTAGGCGACGGAGAGGGCGTCCAGCCAAACGGTGGGTAGAGGGCATCCATGAAGAGATGGAGAGATGCCAGCTTCCGGAGGATCTCTACCATGACAGATTCCTGTGGAGAATAGGCGTCGCAGAGCGCCCTAGCGCGCCGTAAAAGCGGCTCATACATACATACATACATTTTTAGGGGTTGCAATGAAGTGTCTTATTAAAGTAACAAACGCTTTATTTGAGGGCATGTTGGAAGTAAGGTTTACACTCTTTGTCCGACGCACAGTGGAGCGAGTCAATCAGAGAGGTTGGACACTAAATTGTTGACTAAAACTGCAAATTCGGATGTTTATTTCGCCACATTTTAAATTTTAAGGGGGGCTTCGAGAAGAGAATTTCACGAGAAAACCGATGAAACCACTTTTGGGACCTTAAAGTTGTGTATAAACGGAGTTATCAGCGTTTAAAGTCTCCAAATTTTGTCCGACCTCTCCTATTGACTCGATCCATCGTGCGACGTTAAGAATACAGCGCAAAACCAACTGCAAATGACATGGTTCAATTATAATATTCCTTCGGATTTTCAAATTTTCAACGACTACTTTATAACGTATGCGAACTGGTGTAGAGAAAGAAGTGAATCAGGATGCCTTACTGTTCGAGCCGCCTTGACACGAATGTGTCAGTCAATCATACAATAATGTAGCAACAAAAAAATTGAAAACAACCGACTCTCATGAAAGAGCTTCCACGATCAGCAGACAGACGTGACAGAATTGACAATCATTGACATCATACGCCGCTCATTTTGACAGTCCACGGCTCTCTAAAAAGGCTGTACAACCTGCCTTGTTTTGTCTTTTATCCTTGTAGCTTCAATTTTAATTTCAAAACAAAAAAATTACAAGCACAGCTTTTTTCAAAAAGAGCAGTGCATGAAAAAAATGGATTCTCCAAGTCCATTTCTGCCTTCGCATACATTTATGTCGTGCACCAGAAGTTGTGACTAGCGATCAAGCCAAAGTTGGGAACAGTCACGTATTCACTTGCACTATAATATTTAGAAGGGATGCGTTTCACCCCCTCTCCCCATAAATATTGGAGTGCCAGTGAGTATTACCTGTTCGCAACTTTGGTTTAATCTCTATCCACTTCTGCCACATCGTAATTTTTTGAAGCATGTCCATACGATACACATCAAAGCCAAAAGAACAATTTGCAAAGTTTGTGGGAATATATTTTTCAATCCACAAGCCTCTCTTTCTAGACCCGTGAGCAAAGTGGAAAAAAAAGGTTTCCATGTTTTGCCTCCACCTTGTAGTAATCCCCCCATGTAATCCAATATTGACTTATAAATCTTTATACACATTTACATGTCTGTGGAACGTGCTCGTATGATTCAGCAGATCCGGTGACGATTTTCGATCTATTCCCTCTTGTTTTTTTCCCCAATGCGAATGGATTACTTGGACGTATTTCTACCGAACGGAACCATTAATGACTGGGAAAAGATGGAGGTTGTGGGAATATATTTTTCAATCCATAAGCCTCTTTTTCTAGACCCGTGAGCAAAGTGGCAAAAAAGAAGGTTTCCATGTTTTGCCTCCACCTTGTAGTAATCCCCCCATGTAATCCAATATTGACTTATAAATATTTATACACATTTACATGTCTGTGGAACGTGCTCGTATGATTCAGCAGATCCGGTGACGATTTTCGATCTATTCCCTCTTGTTTTTTTTCCCCAATGCGAATGGATTACTCGGACGTATTTCTACCGAACGGAACCATTAACCAGTAGTAAAAGATGGGGGTGTGCTCTGGGAAGCTGCTTAAGAAACAATGTTAAAGTGGACGTGATGCCCTTTAGGGAAGTGGAAAAGCGAGATTTTACATTCTACCAACCCTGGTAAAAATTGGCAGTAGAATGTGTGTTCCAAAATACCATACACCTACGACGGGCTGTAAGATTTCCAATAGCTTCTATAGCCGGCTACACGATGTCTTATAGCCTTTTATAGCCAATGGCGATTAAGCAACTCACAGCCAGGCGATAAAGTGTATGCTAAACGTCACTAATTACGGATGCTAGGACTTAAAGAGTTTTTGGACCACTGCTCTCTTTTTGGGCCGTAGTATCTTGATTTATTTTGCGAGGAAAGCTCCGTACTTTTGATGGATGCCTGCCATTCCTAATATATTAGAGCGCCTTCAGTTTCGTATGATACTGTGCAATACCTCTGGTGTGAAATAGTTGCTTCAAGCGCCGTAGCACGCTGCGGTGCGGCAGGCGGGCAGCCAGTGCGTCGCCGCTCCGCTTTGTGTTAGGCTCTAATATTTAATCTGGCGGAGTCAGCGTTATCCAACTCATGATTTTGAAATGTTTGCACATCCTGTGTGGATTATTCTCGTTTTAATTGATGAAAAAAAATACGTATTGAAGGAAAATATAACGTAAGTTTTGTAAATATTAAGGTGGTTCCGTATCAAACTTAATGATTTCCAAAGCACACGAATTTCTACACAGTTTCTTATAGCCTTTTATAATCGATGGCGAAAAAGCAACAGCCAGGCGATAAAGAGTAAAGCCCGGCTATAGGAACTATAGCCCGCCTGTATAATTTTTTATTGCTTCGTATAGCCCGGCCGTGTGATTTTCTCCGCATTCTACAGCCAGCTATATGATTTTCTGTAGCCTTCTTTAGCCGGCTATCATGGGTGGCGGTAGCCACCTCCGGACAAAGTCTAAACTCGACAACACTGGAAAGCCTCCAAACGAAAAGGTGGCAGCCAACCATAGACACACGTAACTCCCTTATTCTGAAAATTGATTCGACTCTAGATCGACTGCAGACCAAACGACGGCACGGATTCCAACGATCTTGGTGTCTACTGACGCACCTAAATTGGGCCTACAAAGTTGGAAAGTTTCATCAAGATCCATTGAGTTTTCAAAAAGTTATAAGCACTTAAAGGCCCAAAATGACAAATATTTTTTGTAACATGGGCCGTTTAGTAGCGGGAAACCGACA